AATTTTGCACACGCTAGGCCCTTGTTCTTAAGATTTTGCACACGCTAGCCCCTTGTTTTTGAATTTTTGCACACGCTAGGCCCTTGTTCTTGCTATTTTGCACACGCTAGGCCCTTGTTCTTGCTATTTTGCACACGCTAGGCCCTTGTTCTTGCTATTTTGCACACGCTAGGCCCTTGTTCTTGCAATTTTGCACACGCTAGGCCCTTGTTCTTGCTATTTTGCATACGCTAGGCCCTTGTTCCTCAAATTTTGCACACGCTAGGCCCTTGTTCTTGCTATTTTGCACACGCTAGGCCCTTGTTCTTGAAATTTTGCACACGCTAGGCCCTTGTTCTTGCTATTTTGCACACGCTAGGCCCTTGTTCTTGAAATTTTGCACACGCTAGGCCCTTTTTCTTGCAATTTTGCACACGCTAGGCCCTTGTTTTTGCAATTTTGCACACGCTAGGCCCTTGTTCTTGAAATTTTGCACACGCTAGGCCCTTGTTCTTGCAATTTTGCACATGCTAGGCCCTTGTTCTTGCTATTTTGCACACGCTAGGCCCTTGTTCTTGCAATTGTGCACACGCTAGGCCCTTGTTCTGTGCAATTTTGCACACGCTGGGCCCTTGTTCTTGCAATTTTGCACACTCTAGGCCCTTGTTCTTGCAATTTTGCACTCGCTAGGCCCTTGTTCTTGCAATTTCGCAGACGCTAGGCCCAGGTTCTTGCAATTTTGCACACGCTAGGCCCTTGTTCTTGCTATTTTCCACACTCTATGCCCTTGTTCTTGCTCTTTTGCACATGCTAGGCCCTTGTTCTTGCAATTTCGCAGACGCTAGGCCCTTGTTCTTGCAATTTTGCACACGCTAGGCCCTTGTTCTTGCAATTTTGCACTCGCTAGGCCCTTGTTCTTGCAATTTTGCACACGCTAGGCCCTTGTTCTTGCAATTTTGCACATGCTAGGCCCTTGTTCTTGCAATTTTGCACTCGCTAGGCCCTTGTTCTTGCAATTTTGCACTCGCTACACCCTTGTACTTGCAATTTTGCACTCGCTAGGCCCTTGTTCTTGCAATTTTGCACCCGTTAGGCATTTGTTCTTGCAATTTTGCACTCGCTAGGCCCTTGTTCTTGCAATTTTGCACACGCTAGGCCCTTGTTCTTCAAATTTCGCACTCGCTAGGCCTTTAATCTTGGAATTTTGCACACGCTGGGCCCTTGTTCTAACTATTTTGCACACGCTAGGCCCTTGTTTTTGCAATTTTGCACACGCTAGGCCCTTGTTCTTGCAATTTTGCATACGCTAGGCCCTTGTTCTTGCAATTTTGCACTCGCCGGGCCCTTGTTCTTGCATTTTTGCACACGCTAGGCCCTTGTTCTTGCAATTTTGCACCAGCTAGACACTTGTTCTTGCAATTTTGCACACGCTAGGCACTTGTTCTTGCAATTTTGCACTCGCTAGGCCCTTGTTCTTGCAATTTTGCACACGCTAAGCCCTTGTTCTTGAATTTTTGCAGACACTCGCTAGGTCCTTGTTCTTGAAATTTTGCACACGCTAGGCCCTTTTTCCAACTATTTTGCACACGCTAGGCCCTTGTTCTTGCAATTTTGCACTCGCTAAGCCGTTGTTCTTGCAATTTTGCACTCGCTAGACACTTGTTCTTGCAATTTTGCACTCGCTAGGCCCTTGTTCTTGCAATTTTACAGACGCTAGGCCCTTGTTCTTGCAATTTCGCAGACGCTAGGCCCTTGTTCTTGCAATTTTGCATACGCTAGGCCCTTGTTCTTGCAAAGTTGCACTCGCTATGCCCTGTAGCAAAAAAAGGAGTTCAATAATATGAAAGAGATACAAGATATTGCAGATTGTAGTGGCGCACCACCTAGATAGAATGAAATACCGGTAAGCTACAACAATTGTTTGCTTCAGGCAGTTATTGTTTGACATTCCCGAGTCGTGTCGAAACATTTTGTCAATCTCGCGTCACAAAAACGGAATGTATTGCGAAACTATGCTACCAGGCGAAAACCACTGTCGGGCGCATTTAATTGGGTGACACAGATGACTGTACACCCATTTCTTCAACCGCATGGCTGGGGTGTGGTTTTTGCGCGCGGGATTTTCTCCCGCGCGAAATTGGCATTGTAGGCAGACCAGGTGCATTGTCATTTGGGACTGCGTGCGATTTTTTAATGACGAAATGGTTTACAATTTGTCAGCGACTTCAGCTCGTTTCACGATGACCAATGAAATTTAGTAATGGTCGCGGTAAGGCGATTCGCGTTTGAGACAGACTACACTCTATGTTGTTTTTGTCAGAATAGTAGCTAGAAAGTTAGGACAGGGAAGAGAGGTTTGCACTAGCAGGCAGTTTGAGTACATATAGCAAACCTTAATTTGAGCTATACTCGCTATAGAGCACCCCACTGCAGGCTAGACAAATATCACATTCTGACGGTTTTTGGGTGTCTCAAAGCGATTGAGACATTGTGTCGACACAGGAATATACCCTTATTGCATATTCGGGTGGCCCACGCTCAAATACACCTATCATAGCAATTTCAACTTGGTTCGTGCGCAAAGAGAAGTTTGGCGCCTGCGATGACGGCTGTGGTTGCCGAAATATTAAGGAAGTGCATGGATCCCTACCGTAGGGCCCACGGAAGCTTGGAGCTATGCCACAGTGCGAGCTGGAAAAGAACCCAGGGCGGTGGTTGATTCGACGACGTCAATGCTCCTTTCACCCCTTCGCGGATTAAAAACTCAATATCTGACAATTACGCTATAAATCCATCTTAATCTTAGTACACATTGGCATTAAACGTCAGTTCCAAGACAATACATTTTCTTTTGGGTACATATGGTTTTTTAATGAATCATTTTTTCTTACCGAGTTTGGGTACACATACTTCTGCAAAATATGTGCACGAGTGATGCAGCTGTTGCCCGTCTCTCCCATAAGCCGTATTGAACCGCCACCCCTCTCCCCCACACTCATGTTCTTCCCCTCTCCTCTCGACTCTCGCCGCGTCTTCGCTCCTCACTGCTCCGCGTGACGCTCTCTGGAGACATTCTCCCCGCCTTGCGCGAATCACACCCCGCGGATCAGGGGGGAAGGGGGAGGGCGGGTAGGGGCGGGAGCGTGGTAAGCATGGCAGAAGAACCCATGGCGAGGCGACTTCCGGCGCGATCAACGCGGGGGAAATGGTGCGTGCGATCGACCGGGGTTGGGTGGTGGAGGTGGTGTTGGTGCGGGGAGTGGGGGGAACAAGGGCAGCAAGGGCGAGGAGGTGAAGAAGAGAGCGAGCATGGTGTTTCTCTGGCTCCTTTGCTATGTGATTCTTCAGCCTTGATCTTTTCGCTTGCTGTGAGTGCGCATGGCATGGCATTGCAGGAGTAGCCAGCGAGCGGAGGAGGATGTGGAGCGAGACAAGGCGTTTTGGAACCAGAGTGTGTTCCAAGAGGTGCTGCTCGCGCGCTCCCCCACTCCCCACTCCGCATGCATCCCATGCCTACCGACTTCTTCCCCTCTCCAGCTTTCTTCTCCAATTTTGTTATTATAATAAAATTTATTTTTTATTACCATTTATGTCATCTTTCCTCCCTGTCCCTCCCTCCCTTCTCCCCCAACCCTCCCTCCTCCCCCACCCACCTCGCTCTCCCTCAAATTTACCCCGCCTCCCTTCGCCTGCCCTCCTTTCCCGCTGCTGGTGGAAGGAGGAGGAAGATGCGGATTTTGACGTGAGCAAGGAGGCGTGGGGGGGGAGTGGCAGCGCAGGGGAGCAGGAGGGCGTGGAAGATGCGGAGCACAAGGAGGTGGGGGAGGAGGAGGCGGAGGAGGAGGCGGAGGAGGCGGAGGATGAGGAGGATGCGGAGAAGGCGAAGAAGATAGAAGTTGGAGAGGTGGACGGGGCAGAAGATGATGCGGAGGAATCGGAGGGCGAGGAAGGGGAGGACGTTGGTGGTGATGTCAGTGGTCGTGTGATGGTGGGAGGCAAGGAGGAGACAGAGGATGGGGAGGCGAAACAGGGGACAGAGGGAGGGGGAGCAGAAGCAGGAGAGAAGGTGGAGCGAGATGAGGAGAGGCAAGGCACGGCAGTGGAGCAGGTGGGGCAAGGCCTGTGACAGTGGTTGAGGTGATGACAAGGAGGTGCCCCTGTGTGCTGCTTCGCCTTCCTGTATCCATACCATCGTTCCCTGCACAACCTTGCTTTTGCTGGACCCTAGGTCCTCAGCCCTGACCATATGTGTCGGACGTGTGCGTGCGTGTGTGGGCGCATGAGTACTGGATTGCTCGTTTGAGCACACAGACTTCATGTATGCATGCAGAGATGTGCACGCTCGTGCTCTCCTCCTTTCCACTCCTCCCCTGTTGCCTCCCCTCAACGGTGCTGATGCTGAATGCACCACAACACAGGACGGCAGCGGAGGCGGCAGCAAAGAGGGGGAGGGGAACAAGCGGAAAGGCACGGGGAGGTAAGGCATGAGCAGTGTGCGTGCAGGGCTGGCAGGTGAAGTGCCCATTGGTGTGCGCCACAGGTTGTGCACTGTCTCTTGCTCCAGTGCCCATGTCACATGGTCCAATTGACCTGCTGCTATCTTCTCTTGGTCCCTTCCCTGTGCAAGTGTATGTTTGTGCCTCTCCAAACTGCACAAGTGTTTCTCCTCGCCAGCCTACACGTGTGGGCTCATCTGCATCTCTCATCTTGCTCCCCTCTGCCTCTGCCCTCAGCAGCATCAAGCCTGGAAGCAGCAAGAAAGTGCGTTGACAGTCGTGCAGCAAGAGGAGCATGCAAGGGGGTGCACAAGGGCCGTGTGGGGGCGTCTGCCTCCGATGTGCTGCCTGGCAAGCATGCAAGCAAGCAGGGGCGTCAACCTGAGTTTCAAACTCCTTGCTGCATGTCCTCGGAACAAACTACCGGTAGCACGTGCAAACTTGAGCTCCACTACGCTGTTGTGTACAATACAAATGTCTTGATGGTACTAATTGTAAAGCTAGTATGCTCGAGTCGAAGCTCGCTCATGTGAACATTTGCCAGACCAGAGGTTTCTCAATCCACTCGTGAAATGGAGAGGGGGCTGCATGGAACGCTGCACGTGCATGGTCATAGGCTGCTGCAGCTCTCTGGGGGGGTGAGGGGGGTGGAGGGGGTGGAGGGAGGGGGGAAAGGGAGGCAGGTGAATTACCAGGCAGGAAGGTCAATGAGAAGGGTATAACTTATCAGTAGAGAACATGAGGCATGGCGTGGGCAGGTTCACAGGGCACGTGGCACAAGGCAAGGCAGAGAGGGGCAGACCTTGATGTGCAGGTAGGGCAAGGAGACGAGGGAGAGGTGGTGCGGGAAGAATGGCAGGAGAGCCTTGAAGCGAGCCAGCAGTGATGCTCTGGGGGGAATGTGCCGGGCAGGAGGGCAGAGAGACATGGCAGTGAGGGGGTGACACGTGAGAGGGACGGCACGCACACATGGGAGGTGAGGACGTGTGGTAAACATGCGCTTCACTGGTATGGCGGGCACACAGACACACCACTGAACCATGATTAACAGGACAGCAGTGTCCAAAGAGCAAGGGAAAAGGGTGTGAGAGATGGGACAGAGGGGGAGTAGTTGAAGTGGCAAGTGGTGGGAGGCAGACCGGCAGATGGAGGAGCGGGTGGAGGGCGAGAGAGCGCCCCGTGTGGAGGTGCCCTGGCGCCGCCCACACGTGCCTATCAGCGCCTCCTGCTGCGCTGACACCGCATCCCACAGCACCGAGAACCTGGGGGAGTGGTGGAGCCAGCAGTGACAGCGGAAGGGGGAACGCTGTGACGATGAGAGACAAGGCTGTGGTGATGGCGGGATGGCCATGGTGCATGGCGTGCGATGTAGGAAGGTTGAAAGGTGCGTTGCGTTACCCGCAGGCGACTGCAGTGAGCGAGTCGTGCTGGCGAGCCAGCTGTGAGGGCGGTGACGGTGCCCACAGAATGACAGGCTGTGGCCACAGGAGAGGGGCGAGAGGGGGGAGGGTGTGAGCACAGTGTAAGTGAGAGAGGGGGAATGCATGGAGTGGTGAGATTCAAGACAACTGAAGCGATGTAATAAGCTGCTACACCATGCTGCTATTTATCCGGCAGCAAGCAAGCATGACCTGGTGCACATGGTAGTGTGGCCAACTGCTGCTGTCCCTCCTCCTCCTCTTCCCCGCACCACAACCACACTCCTGGCAATCAACACCCGATTCTCCACTCCCGTTCCTCCGGGTGCATGTGCAAGCATTCTCGCACGTCCCGCCACCCACGCCGTGATCCCTGCTCTCTACACCTGCGCACTGCGCTGCCGGCATCACCAGTCGCCAGTACAACGCTCGCTTCACTGCACTCAACACACATGAACATCTCTGCTGCCCAGCTGTGCTGCTTCCTTCACCTCCGGCTGTTCCTCCTGCCCCCTCTTCCTCGCCCTCACCTACCCACCCGTGTCCATTCACCGACCCCTCCCTGCCAACTCCCCCCGTGCCACTCGCATCTGCCTCACTCGGCCACTCCCCCTTCCCTGCACCCCCACCACCAACCCCATCTCCTCCCTTTGGTGCAGCCAGGCATGGGCAGAGGCGTTGGGGAGAGCAGATGGGACAGGAGAGCGGGGAGGAGTGGGGAGGCGGGGGCGCAGCGAGGATGACAGACGTGATGTACACGGGCGCGCACACCACGTGGCTCAGCACGGCCCCTGCTAACAAGGGGGAGGGACGGGTGGCAGGTGGGGGGGAGAGGGGGATGTGACATGCCATGGAGGACAGCTGCTGGTGACATATGGGTACTTCAATTCCTCATCCACATGCTCCATTCCCTGATTACCCCCACTCTGCCCCCACCTGCTGCCATTCGCTGGCCCCTCTATCCCGTCCACACGTATTGCCCCCCTTTCCCCTGCCCTCCCCTTCCCCCCTCACCCTGCACGCCCAGCACGTTCCAGCGCGCCATCTTATCGCTGCAGCTCACACTCAGCGTCGCCTCGCCCCGCCCTGGCTTGCGCCGCACCACCCCCACCACCTGCTGCTGCCCTCCGCCCTCGCGCTCCCGCTGCCTCGCCCTCCCGCTGCCGCACGCCACTGCTGCATCAGCAGCAGCGTCCAGGGGAGCAGCGGGGGAGCGGTGGTCAAGAGAGGGGGCGAGGGGTGGCGGAGGAGGCAAGACCTTGGCGCCTGTTGCCAGCCGCCTGCTGGGACCTGCATGCCGCACACAGGGAGGGGGTGGGGGGTTGGGGGGTGGAAGAAATGGGGTTGTTCTGGGTTGGAGTAAGAAACAGGGGGAGGGGGGAGAGTTAAGATGAAGGCAATACGGTCCAAGAGAGGGGGAACAAAATGTTGCAACGATGAGCGGCAAACTGCATGATTCGGACTGGCTTATCGTCCATGCTGGGAAGGGGCATGGCGGTGCTCTAACGCAAGTGCATGCAGCACCCCACGTGCCAAGTACAGGGCCAGCATGACGCCATGAGCAAACATGCATCCGTGCATCCGTGCTCCAGTCCACACCTTGCCTTGGCGTGCCCGCCTCTGTGCTCCCCGCCACCTCATTCACACACTCCCCATCCGCCCCTTCCTCCCGCCGCTCATGCCTCCCTTCCTCACGGTCCCCCTCAGAGCGACCAGATGCGAGAGCAGCGGGTGACGAGGGCCCAGCAGCAGCGGCGAGTGGAGGCGGCGTTGATGGGTGGTGCGGTGGTGGCGGGCCAGCAGCATCCACAATGCACGCATCGCCACCTGCCACGGCGGGGACTCAAGGGAGTGCAAATCACAGGAGCGGCCTCGGCTCGGCAGTGCGACGCATACACAATGGTGCATGCTGCCATGCTGCTGCTACCCCATGCCAGGCTGTCACTATGGGCGGAACGGGCATGGGTGGGGCACGGAAGGAGCACGCGAGAACTCACAGGGCAGCTGGGAGCAGTAGAGGTGCAGGTGGAAGCCACGCCGCCATGCCACCGCCACTGCTCCACGCTCCTGCCCCTTGCTCCCACAACCCTGCTGCTCGCGGCTCGCACCACTGTGAGCGTCACCACACCCCTCCACCAGCATGAATGGGTTGTCCTCTGCATTCACCGAAACTGCCCCTCCCGCTCCGCCTGATGCCCGCTTTCCCTTCCTCCTGCTCCCACCACCGGTAGCAGCGCCACCACCAGCGGCGCCATCGCTACCAGCTGCAGCGAGCCCCCTGTCTCGCACTCCCTCCTCGCCTTGCGTGCGCGCGCGCCCCTGCCGTGCGTGCAGCAGCTGCTCAATGCACGCATACATCCACCTGCACGCCACCACCATGCTCATTCACCCCCCAACCAACAGCAAACCCCCCCTCTCCCCATCCCAGCTCCCCCCTGTGCCCTCCCCATTCGTCCCTCCCTCCCCCAACGATACTCGTCCCAATGTATCCCTCCCCACCACCCCCTCTCCCAGCAGAGAGCATGAGCGAGTGAGAGAGTGTAAGATGTGTGAACGGAGGGCGTGAGAGCATGTGGGTGCGAGTGCGCAGAGGGCAGGCAGCATGGCACGCGCGCACGCACTTCACCAGAGCGCGCCGAGCGACGATCTCCGCGTGGCAGTCGCTCACCCCGTCGCCCGCCGCTGACCGCGCGTCTCCCCCCGTGCACTTGGTGCCCGTCGCTACCACCACCACATGCGGCTCGCCTGCCGGGCGCGGGGCGCGGGGACGGACGCACCGCACGGTGACCTACTGGCGGAACGAGCAAGGGGACGAGCAGGTGGCGCGAACGGGGAAGGGAGGGGACACGTGCGCATGCGATGGCGGAGCGGAAAGCGGCGCGCGGAGGCGGGCGGCGTGGGAGCGGCACTGACCGGCAAGCGGGGCGGGGGAGCGCGTGAGGACGAAGGCAGCGAGCGCCGTGTACTCATGCGCCTGGGGCTTCCCCTTGGGGTGCAGCGCGCGGTATTGCGCCATCACCGCGTCCGCTACACGCTCCGCAAACTCCGCCATTGCGCGCAGCGACGCGCAGCGACTTGAACGACGAGCGGCGGCAGGCGAGGTGAAATGTGAGATGGCGGAGGAATGGAACGGCGTGGAAGAGTGGCGGACACGGCGAGGCGCGGGAGGCACGGGAGCGGGTGCGGCGGCGTGAGTGTGGCGGTGATGGCTCCTGACAGTGCGGTGATGCGGTGTGATGTGCCAGGGCGGATGTTCTGGAGTGGAGGGAACAAACAGAAAGAGGGGATCGTACTAAACCGTGTTGCAACGTACTGCACCGATACCTTTTTTTCTACCACCCACCTGCGTTGTAACACTGATGTATGAGAGTTCACTAGTTCGCGTGCCACTCACATTCTTCGGATCCTCGTTCCTCCCCTCACCTCTCGCTCTGCTCTTCGCACAGCTGCTTTTCCGCGCCCATGTCCGCCCTCGCACCGCTCAAGCCATGCGCCGCGCGCCACTCGCCGTCGCTAGGCCAATCGAGCGCCGCGTGTGTGGCAAGCGCCCCGACCGCGCAGCACGGCGGCGCAGCGAGCCATGCGGGAGACGCACGGGTGGAACGGGCGCGCGAGCAGCTGTGGGTGGTGGGGGAGGCGGAGGAGTGCGCGGGGAGTGAGGAGGGGGAGCGGGCTGCGAGCGAGTGTGTGGGCACGTGCCCCGACATGTGCCCTGGTGCGCGCGCCCCTCACTCACGCGCTACACCGCGCGCTCACGCGCACTCCCAGCCACGCACAGCGCCGCCTGCTCGCTCGCGCGCACGCTCTGGTCCCCTCTCCTCTCTTCTCTCTCTGCCGCGCACTCTCTCCCGCCGCTTCCCTCGTTTCTCCGTCTGTCCTTCCTCGTCTTCCGCTCATCAGTCGCCCCCTCACCACCCCCCTCTCGTCCTTGTCTCACTCCCCCATCGCCCAATTCCTCCAAATCATCCCCAATATCCTCCCCTCTCCCCCTCTGCTCCCGCATGTGCGCAATGGCGGGCAGCGAGGGAGCGCGCGGCGCGCGAGCGGCTGAGGGACCTGGCGGTGTTCGAGCGGCGGCGCGACGACCCCTCCACCACGTCGCCGCTGCTCGCCGTTAAGAAGGTGCCTCGCCCCGCCCTCCGCTCCCCCCCCCCTGTTCCCTCGCGCTCTCCGTCGTCCTCGCTTCCTCGCCTCCCGCGCTTACTCCATCGCTAGTCTCGCGCCGTCCTTCTTGGTCTCAACCCCGTCCTCCGACCCTCTCCCCGCCCTCCCCCCAGTTCTCCCGCACCCTGGGTGCTGGCGGTGTGGCCGTGCCGCGTGACGAGATCCGCCCGCCCGCAGTGCTGATGCGCGCACTGGCGCACCTCGTGCGCATCGTGGGGGGGGAGGGGACTGGCGCAGGCCACGGCGGATGGCGGGGCGCGGAGCGCGGGGCGGTGGTGCTGGGCGAGGGGCGCATGAGCGAGGGCGTGTACGAGTTTGTGAGCGACCGCCTGCGCGGCATGCGGCAGGACATGGCCATGCAACGCATCCACGGCGCACAGGCCGTGCAGCTGCTCGCTCCCATGGTGCGTTGTGGGGGGGGAAAGAGAGGTGGGGGAAGGGGGAAGTGTTTGAAGTGAGGGCGCTTGGGCTAAAAACCACCATCCCCTTTCCCGCCCCATCCCCATCCCCATTTCCATTTCCATCCCAGGTTCGCTTCCATGCAGCAGCAGCATACGAGCTCGCCACGGCCCCTCCCCAGGCAGTCCCTGCAGCCGCGCGAGAGGCAGGGAGCGCTGCTGCCAGCACGGCAGGCAGGGGTGGCAGTGGCAGTGGCAGCAGTGCAGCGTGGAGGGGGAAGCGTGGGGGCAGAGGCGAGGGGGTGGCATCAGGCGCGTCGTCGACGCCCTCACCATCAGCGGTGCATCGGTTTGACGCGCATCTGAACCTGAAGCACCTGGCGGAGGCCCTGCGCAGCCTGCTCTTCGCCTTCTCCACGTGCCACCACCACGCCGCCTCTGCCCATGCACGTGCGCCACCCTCCAATGCACAGTGCGGCAGCTCAGCATCCGGCAGCAGCACCACTGCCACAAGCGGCAGCAGCGCCGTGTGCACGCGCACAGAAGCCGCCACGGACCAAGGTGGTGGGGTGGAGGGGAACGAGGTGGTGGATAGCTGGGGCGATGACTCGGGGTCAGTTGCAGATGCGCAGGGCGTGAGGAGGGCAGCGAGAAGCGCAGCGTTGCAAGGGGCAGGAGCAGGTGGGAGGAACGAGGAGGAGCGAGAGGTGGGGAGCTGGGAGGAGAGAGAGGAGGAGGCGTTGGGGGGGGGGCAGGTGGGAAGCGCAGCTGGAATGGCAGCAGCGGAGGCTGGTGGTGGAGGTGGTGGGGAGGAGGAGGAGGAGGATGAGGAGGGAGAGTTCACGTCGCTGTATGTGATACTGCACATGGCGCCTCACTCGCACATGCCCACATGCGAGTCCCTGGCGCCTATGCTCTCCTCCCTGCGCCCCTCCCTCCTGCGCTCCCCTCACATGCGCCTCGCCCTCTCCCTGCTGCGGTGCGCCCTCCTGCTGGGTGATGGGGAAAGGGGGAAGGATCAGGGGAGGGATTGGGGCAGGGAAAGGCGGGTGGGTACCAGACAGGGGGGCTCTGGGAGAGCAGGGTGACACAAGAGGGTGTGGTGGAAGAGAGGGAGCAGAAGGGTGGGGGGATTGCAGTGAGGGTTCTGGGCGGTGATGCACTCAAACAGTGATAGGGAAGAAGGGCCTTGGTGTTAGCAACTGGAATTGTGTTCATGCCATTTCCCCATCACCCGTCAGTGCACTTACCCATTCTTCCCTCCCACTCTTGCTTCGTTTGTATCACTGCTGTGGCTGCCTTACTTGTCCAGTTGCTACAGGACAAACAACGCCATTCGCTTCTTCCGCCTGGTCAGGGAGCGAGCAACATACCTTCAGGCGTGTCTGCTGCACTTTCACTTCACTGCGGTCAGTGCTCTGCCCTGCTCTACTCTACCCAGCTCTGCTGAATCGTCCTGCTCTCTCCCACACACCGCTCCACTGCTGGCAGCATCACAGCATGTGCCCTGCACCAACACGTCCCCACGTCCCTCACCCACCTGCCTCCCTCGTCCGCTGTCCCCCACCCTCCCAACGCCCCATGCCCGTCCTTCCCAATCTCTGCAGCTGCGCTCGGTGTTTCTCAAGGCAGTGCATGCAGCAGGATACCGCCACCACCCCATCCCTCTGCACCGCCTTGTACCACTCCTCCTCTTGGTCCGTTGCACCTCCACTCCCTATCCCCAACCATCACTCACCACTCTCTACTCCGCCCATGTATTTGCCACACTCCACTGACACCTTGAGCTGCAATATAATCTTCCTCTTTACCAGTCCTTACCTCCACCCTTGTGCTTGGGCCATTCAACCCCCTCATGTCCATCCCTCTCCACCGCTCTGCTGCCCACCACCAGGATTCAGAGCAGCAGCTGCAGGCCCTGTGTCGGCAGCTGGGCATGCCCCTCACTCCTGTGGACGCCACCCCGCCCTCCCACGTGCCTGCCTCTGCCCCATCATCCCTCGCACCAGCCTCCCCCATGGCCCTGGTGCCTCGGGAACCCCTGCACCTTGCAGTGTCAGCAGCGGCGGGGGAGGGCAGTGGCGGCATGATGCCGTGCAGTGCGGTGGATGCTAAAAGAGTGGGCTTTCCCTTTGCCTCGCTCCCTGCTCCCATGTAGGCATCATGTGCTGCACATGGGTTTGCACGTTGACATGCTTGTGCCTCACAGACTCAACGCAAAACCAGTGGTGGTGTTGATGTGGTGCCTCTGCCAAATCCAACCCTTCCTATTTAACCATGATGAATTCCATTTATGGTAATACATTACTTCTTTATGTGCTAAGACATGGTAAACAACAATGCCTACAAAATCTAGTGAATAATAAGTCAAGTTGGTGTCTGCGTCACTTGTACTTTGTTGAGGGTGGCGGACCCTAGTTGCTTGCAAGCCGCACCAGCAGCTGATGTGCTGCGGTGCGTGTGGCAGTGAGAGCAACGCAAGTGCTGGCCATGACAGATTGTCCGAGATTGGGCGGGATCGGGCACAGACTGTGACTCTATGGCATGTCCAACTCGCTGCGAGGCTGCACACCAGGGGGAAAGACAGCACAGGAAGAAGGGGGGGGGGCGCGGGAGACGGTGAGCGAGTTGCGATGGTGGTGGGGAGAAGGGTGGCCAGGAGCGCACGGCCCCTGTGGTGGTGTGGGGGAGGGAAGAGATGAAGAGCACAGCAGTGCGTGCACTGCAACACAGTTACTGTGGTGCATGCAGATCACTGGGCAACCCCATTGCAAGATACCTGCACCCTGCATATATTACAACCTGCAACGTCCAGCACACACCACAGCATGCTTCAGCCCCATGCGTATCACCCATGACCCATGCACCATGCACCATTCCCATGACCCATGCACCATGCACCATTCCCATGGCCCATGCCCCATGCCCCATGACCCAAACCACCATACAGCAAGCAGCAAGTGGTTGCAACCCACCGTGGCGAGCAGCAGCAGCAGCCAGGCGTGCAGCAGCAGCCAGTAGGCAGCCACTGCGATGCGCATGAGGGGCCGCGACATGAGCACTCGCCCCGTTGACACACTGCCCATGGGGGCAAACACGTGGCACGGCGCATGGGACACGGGGCGACCATGGGGAGTGGTTGGGCAAGTGGACGTGGGGTATGGATGCTGGGTAGAATGGGATGAGCGGGTGGTGACGGGCAGTGAGCATAGTTCATGTGACAGGGCAGCCGCATGGGAATGGGGAAGTGGAGGTGACGCAATATCATTGCACAGCAAGGGGGAGTAGAGATGGGGCAGGCAGCGGAGGAGGAGGTGAGGGCACGGAAGTGCATGTGGGGGAAGCAAGGAAGGGATTGCGTACAAGAGACGGTCGATGGTGCGAGCAGCTGAGTTGAGGGGGCGAGGCAGGGAGCGGAAGGCAGTCACTATGGGCGTGAATCCTTGCACTGCAGCAGTCAGCGGTCCAATTGGGGGGGCACAGGGGAGCGACAGGAGAAGATGTAAATTCACACACACACTTACATACGAGGGGTGAGAGAGGGAACACAGATGAGGCACAGCGAGAGCAAGGAGATGCATTGTAAGCCCATGAGCACTGCCACGCTAAGGGTTGGTTGCCTGCCTCCCATGGGTTCCCCTGGCAGCACAGCACCTTCATCGTCGCCCCGCGCGTGTGTGGCCGCCTCAATGTCCACATGCACTGCTGCCGATGCCGCACCCGCACCCGCCGCTGAGGGCGACGAGGACGATGAGAGCGGGCGCAGGTTGCTGCTGGGGAGCGCAGCAGGGGAGGCCGTGGAGGCAGAGGCAGCGGCAGCGGGGGAAGGGGCTGCACGAGATACGAGAGGCGGCGAGAACGGGGTGTGGGCAGGGCCAGGCTGGGGTGGCCGCTTCGCTGGCCGCTCGCCCTCCCTCTCCCGCTCCCGTTCCCGGTTGTCCCTGGGTGGATCCTGTGATCGTGGCTGCTGCTCCCTTTGCCGGTGCTGCACATTGCGTCATAAACAGGGAGGTTCGTGGGAAATGAGGAGAATGATATTGTTTCAAAAGAGAGAGAGCAGGGACCCTATGCCATCCAGCAAAGGTGCACAACGACATGGAATAAGCAATACCGTGTGCAAGCCCTTGAGTGCAAGCACAATGCCATGCACCCCCATCACTCACACTGTCGTCTGTCTCCGACCTCGACTCCCCTGGACCTGCCTCCACGCCCCCCCCTGCACGCCTCTGTGCGTCGGCACTGAGCTCGCCGCGGGCAGCCAGGGCGTGCTGCAGCTCCTCCAGCGCCAGCAGCAGCTTGTCCCGCTCGCCACTGGCGTGCCCCTTCTCCACCAGCAGCGCCTCTATCTCGCCCATCAACCCCTCCCTCTCCGCCACCAGCCCCTCCCGCTGCACCACCACCTGCTCCCTCTCCTCTGCTAAAGCATCTCTCTCCTTCATCAGCATATCTCTTTCACCAATCAGCACATCCCTTTCACCTAGTAGCATGTCCCGTTCACCAATTAACACGTCCCTTTCACCAGCTATAAAATCTCTTTCACCCATCAACATATCCCTCTCCGCCCTAATCTCATCCCTCTCTGCTCTAATCTCATCTCTCTCTGTCCTGATCGCATCCCTTTCTGCCCTCAATAGCCCGTTCTCAGTCTGCAGTGCCTGTGCATGCGCCTCTATGTCACCCGTGTCCTCCTGCACTCCCTGTAACTTCTTTGCCGCCTCCACCTGCTGCTCTTGCTCTTGCCGCTCCTCCTCACGCTGCTACAGAAACAGAAGTACCACACAAGGAATTACTCAAAAAGAGGAAAGATAATGGAACAAGAAGCCTGCAGAAGAAAAACAGATTCGAACGGAGCGCCAGGCATGTAGCACTCACCACCTGTGCTGCACCCATGGTCACTTCACTCTCCCTCAGCGCCTTCTCCACACCATCACTCCCTGCGGCCACCAGTCCAGCTACAGGCCTCTCCTCGCCTCCTGCTCCAGCAGCAGCAGCAGCAGCGAGGGCAGCGTCGAGCTTGGCTGTGACCTCCACCAGTTGAGCCTGCTGCGCCTCCACCTGCCCCTGCAGCACCTGCACCTCTTCCCTCGCCTGCCTCCTCTCCTCCTCCCATTGCCGCACTGCAAACTTTGCCTTTTGCAATTGCCCCTCCACCTGCGTGCGTGCAGACACACAAAAAAAAGCGTGGAAGCAAAGGAGACCCGGTATGAGGGATAAGGGTTGCAAGGTGACCATATGCCATGGGAAACACAAGGGCACGTGTGGCAGCACAGGGGTGAGACAGGCATGGCGCATGCTGCACTGCAAATGGTTCTGAAGCACAAAAGGGCAGTGGTAGGTGCGGAACGTGTGGGTGGAACGGGAACGTGAGAGGAGCTCACCTCTTCCACGCGCTGTGTGGCCACGGCATGGCCCTTCTCCGCCTCCACTCTCAGCTCCTCCGCTCGCTGCCCCTCCACTGCCCGCCTCTCACTCTCCTCCCTCCACCTCTCCGCCTGCTCCATTGCTGCCGCCACCTGCTGCTGCTCCTGCGCCAGCGCTGGTCACAGGAGTGCAGAGGAAAAGAGGTACAGAGAGGCAGCAAGCAGAGCAGAACATGGGAAGATGGTGCTCGTGGTGAGTGGCAGCATGGCCTTAGGAGCAATGCAAAGAAGCTGTCGACATGTGGGGTATGCCGAACGATTGCACCTCAACAAGGCTGAGACCCAGGGTGAAAAATGGGCTTCGTAAGCTGCCAATGAAGAAGGCTGGATGGCGTTGGTGACAGGGCCTTTGAACCTGATCGGGAGTGATACAGGAATGGTGCCGGGAGTGATACAGGAATGGTGCCGGGAGTGTTGTAGCACCCATGGCACTCACCTTGCTCCAGTGCAACCACTTGCTGCTTGCTGCTGGCCCGGCCTCGCTCTGACTCCTCCATCTTGCCCCGCCACTCTGCCACACACACCGCCATTGCCTCCTCCGCTGCCTGCCTCTGCTGCTGCACCTCCTTCTCCAGCTCGCCCACCCGCTCCTCCAACAATCCCACTCTCCCGCGTGCACTCGCCTCCCTCCCCTCCACCTCCTGCACCTTCTCACGAAGTTTTCTCGACTCGTGTCGAACCTGCTCCAGCTCATCCACTGCCTTTGCCACCTCAGCCTGCGAGTGAGCCAGCCTGTCCTGGGCGGCAGCCAGCTCAGCCTTGAGTGCAGTCACCTCAGGCTCCACCTTCTTCCTCGCGTCCTCCTCCGCCTTCCTCATCTTCTCCACCGCCCTCTTCTTTATGTTCTCCTCCCGCCTCTTCCCTTCCTCCTCCTTCTTCTTCACCTCCTCCTTCAACCGCCCCACCTCTGCCTCCAGCTCGCCCACCCGGGCACTCGCCCCCTCGCCGTGGCTCCCCTCCTCCGTGCTCGCCGCCTGCAAGCCCTTCACCACGTCCTCCAGTCGCCTTTTCTCCGCCGCGGCTGCTTCCACCTGCGCCTTCCATGTGGCCACCTCCTCTCGTGCGCCACTCACCTGCTGCTCTGCCTCCGCCCGCACCCTGCTCGTCTCCTGCTGTGCTCGCTCCACCGTGCCCTTCAACTCACCCACCTCCCTCTCAAGTGCCGTCACCTCACCCCTCAACCGCCCGGTCTCTTCTGCCTCTGCGCCTGCCCTGCCCTGCAGCTGCTGCACCTCGCCCTGCAGCGCCTGCACCTGGGCCTGTGCCGCCTCCACCTGCTGCTGCAGCGCTGCCGCCGTCCGTTCAGCCTGCAGGCGAGCGTCCTCCATGGCCTTGCCCTTGCGCACCGCCTTGTGCAGCTTCTCCCGCACCGCCGCCACCGCTGCCTCCGCCCGCTCCGCCTCCTCCTTCCACCGACCCGCCTCCGCCTCTGCCGGCGCCTTGCCACCCGCCCCCTTCGACTCCGCTGTGTTGGGTAGTGTGTCTGCTGTTCCATTGCCTGCCCCACCAAACCCAATATCACAAGAGCATAGAGCGAGGACAAAGGGATAGTGGCAAGTCAAGTGAGAAGATTGTCGAGTCATGCAGCTTGTAAAAACACCAAGCTGGCATAAGCACAACGGCATGACAGCAGTGGCACTACCCACCTGCTGGCGCTGCCTTGATTTGCTGCAGCTGTCCCTCCAGCTCCACCACCTTCGCCTCTGCATCCACCACCTTGCCTCGCAGCGCCTCCGCACTCGCCTCAGCCGCTTCCCTCGCCGCTACAGCAGCACGCACCTCGCCCACCAGCCGCTCCACCTGCTGCTCCTTCTCCCGCACGCGCTCCTCTGCATCCCGCACTGCCTGCTGCACCGCCTCTGCCTCTGCCCCCACTTGCGGCCCATCCACCTGCCCTGCACTCTGTGCTGCAAGCTCCTCAGCCCTCGCTGTGGCAGCGGCTGTTGCACCCTGTAGAGCTGCTATCTGGGCCTGAAGCCCCTCAACCTCCGCCCTCAGCTTCTCACATTCCTTCTCTGCCTCATCGCGTGCACGCCGTGCTGCCTGCCACTCCTCCTCCTTGCTCTTCACCTCGCCATTCAAGTCCTCCGCCTGCTGTCTCACTTGCTGCAACTGCTCCACCACCAATTCCTTCTCCCTCACAATCTCACCTTCCCTCCTCTCCCACGCTGCCTGCTTGCCAGCCCACTCCTCGCTGACTACGCGCCTCTCCTCCTCCCACGCTCTACACTGCTCTTCCTTCACCACCAGCGCCTGCTCCGCTGTGCTAAGCCGTGCCTCTAGCTCTGCCATCGCAGCAGCACGCCTCTCGCCCTCAGCCCCTCGTGCCCTCTCTGCCTCCAGCAGTGCCTCCACCTCGCCAATCCTCTGCCTGCATTCCGCCACCTCGCCTTCCTTCGCCTGCACCTCCTTCTGCAACCGCGTCCTCTCCTCCTCTGCCGTCCGCTCAGCCTGCATTCGAGCGTCCTCCATGGCCTTGCCCTTGCGCACCGCCTTGTGCAGCTTCTCCCGCACTGCCGCCACCGCTGCCTCCGCCTTCTCCGCCTCCTCCCGCCACCGCCTCGCCTCCGCCTCCGCCTCTGCCTGTGCCTTGCCCGCCCCCCCCTCCGCCTCCTGCAGCAGCCCCGTCAAGTGCTCCACCCGGCCCTGCAGCTCCTTCACTGCACCCTCCAGTCGCCCCTTCTCCTCCTTCTCCACGTCCCGCTCTTCTGCCACTGCTCTCTGTGCGTCCCTCGCAGCTCCACATTCCACCTCCAGCGCCGCTATTGACTTGCGTGCCTCCTCCACCTCGCCCTGCACTCTCATCACTGCTGCTTCCAGTTCATCCTTCTTCCTCTGCACTCTCTCCCGCTCCTCCAGCACTCTCTCCCTCTCCTCTTCTGCTGCAGCAAGTGCACCCTTCACTGTATCTCTCTCGCTTTCCAAAGCCGACACCAACTCCTTCAGCCCTGCCATTTCTCCCTGGAGCTTCTTCAGCGCCCCATCAAGTTCATCCCGTTCCTCCTTTAACCGGTCTCTCTCTGCTCCTGTTTCAGCACCAGCAGCTGTCGCTGCCTCGCTATCCTCCTGCACCGCCGCAATCGCCTCCTGTAGGCCTGCCACCTCTGCTTGCAGCTGTCTCACCACTGCCTGCTCCACCTCCACCCTAGCCTGCAAGCCTGCTTCCACCATCGTTGCAGCAGCCCCCACCTGCTCCTGCAGCCTCGCCACCTCTGCCTCCAGTGCGGCCCTGCTTGCCTCCACCGCTGCCTGCGCCTGGCACCGCTCCTCCACGTCCCTCGCATGCTCGCCCCTCACCCGCTCCACCTCCGCACACAGCCCTCGCGCCTTCTCCTCCAGTGCTGCCACCTGCGCCCTCAGCTCTGACTCCTCTGCTCGCCATGATGCCTCTGCCTGCTGCCTCGCCTCCTCTATTGTCCGAAGTTTAGCCTCCACCTCCTCTTGCACAATTGCTATCTCTTGTTTCTTCTCCGCCTCCTTCTCTTCCTCCACCCGCCGTCGTTCCTCTTCCTTCTCCTTCTCCCTCTCCCTTCTCTCTGCTTCTTTCTCTGATTCTCGCTCCGCCTCCCTCTCCTTCTCCTTCTCTCTCTCAACCTCTCGCTCTCGCCCCCACTCTGTCTCTTTCGCCTCCATCTCCCTCCTCACAGCCTGTACCTCCTCTCGCAGCCCCTCCACCACCTCACCTGTCCTCGCCACCTCTCCCTGCACCTCTGCAAGCCTCTCCTCAACTTCCTTCTTCTCCCTCTCCACCTCTTCCAAAGCCGCCCCCACTTCTCCCAACCTCTGCTCACTCGCCTCTCGCTCCCTCTCCGCCTCCTTCCTCGCCTCCTCTGCCATCCCCTTTGCCTCCTCCGCAGCTCTCTGCAGCTCTCCCACCTGCACTTTCAGCGCCTGCACCTCGCCCTGCGCCTCGCTCACGCGCCTCTCAGCGTCTTCCCTCGCCTGCTCTGCCTCCTCGCTCGCCTTCTTCACAGCGGCAGCCACCGCACTCTCCCGCTCCGCCTCTACCCTCGCCACGGCCGCCTCGCTTGCCTCGACCTGTTTCTTGAGCGCCTTCACCTCGCCCTCCGCCTCATTCACGCGCTTCTGCAGCGCATCCCTCTCCGCCCTCACCTTGGCATCTCCCCCACCCCCCTTCTTCCCCTTCTTCCCGCCCCTGTCCGCCGCCTCGCCCTCCAGGCGGGCGATCTCCGCCTTGAGCTTCTTCACCTCGCCCCCCAGCATGTCATTGCGCTCCTTCAGCCGTGCCACGTGCTTCTCCTTCTCCTCCAACTGCATCCTCAGCCCCTTCTCCGCCTTGCCCACCGCCTGCTGCTCCTGCGCCACCTCCTCCCCACCACCGCGCTCACTCTGCCCGTCACCCGTCTTCTTCAGTTCCTCAACCTGCGCCTCCGCCTGCTCGCGCCGCTCCTTCTCCCTGCCCACCTCCTCCTTCAGATCACTCGCCATCTGCCTCGCCTCCACCACCACCTCGCTCTCCTTCGCCCCCACCACCTCCTGCAGTGCTCGTAACTCCTCCTGCAAGTGCACCACCTCCTGTTGCTTGCCCTCCGCCTCGCCACTCGCTGCTCGCACACTCTCCTCCATCTGCGCCACCTGCCTCTCCATCTCTGCAACCCTCTCCTCTGCGAGCTTCTTCTCCCCCTCCACTCGCTCCACCTCCTCCTGCAACGCTCTCAACCGCGCTGCACTCTCGGCCACCTCCTGCTCCATCTCGCTCTGCCTCTGCTCCGCTGCCACCCTCCTCGCCTCCTCCTCAGCAGCCTTATCCGTCATTGCCTGCCGCTCGCGTGCCCTCTCCCCCGCACTCGCTTCCATCTCCGCCTTCGCTCGCTCCACGTCTTCCCTCAATCCCTCAGCCTCTCGCCTCGCCGCATCCCTCTCAGCCACCACGGCAGCAGCAGCCTGCTGTGCCTCACCCACCTGCTGCCGCACACCCTCCACCTCCTGCTCCAGCGCCACTACCCGCGCCTTCGCCTCCTCCAGCTCTGACTCCACAGCGCCCAGCGCCTCTCTGTGCTGCTCCCTCTCAGCCTCTGCCTCAGCAACTGCTTCACTGAGCGCCGTGTCTGCTGCCGCCTTGAGAGCCCTCATCGCCTCCACTGCATCTGCCGCCTCCTTCACCTCTGCCTGCAGCGCTGCCACCTGCCGTGCCACCTCCTCCTGCCCGCTGCCTGCTGCCTGCGCCTCCGCTGCATGCTGCGCCGCCTGTGCCTGCAGCCGTGCCACCTGCGCCTCCATCTCTGCCAGCCGTGTCTGCACCACACGCATGGGAGGGGCATCAAGCGCAGAGGATCGCTGGAGTTAAGCGCTTGGGGCTGCTGGGGAGCAGAGCAGGACAGGCATGCACGAAAACGGAAGAGCAGAGTGGTTGGCAACAGAAAAAGCGTCTATGACTTTCCAGTGGCAACCCCTCAAAACATTCAGAGCCCACCATGGTGACCTCAAACCAGGCTGGCATGCAGGGCAGGTGGAGAAAAGTGAATGTAATTGCACGAACGCAAGCTGGCCCGTCCACTTTCCCATGCACTCTGCCTCCTCCCCATCCCACGTGCGACCCCCCTCGTGTGGCTCACCTCGGACTCCGCCAGTGCAGCTCTCAGCTGAGCGGCCACGCCCTGCTCCTCCGCCACCTGCCTCTCCTTGCGCGCCACCTCCTCCTGCCACGTCACCTTCTCGGCTTCCACCGCACCCTCTGCGCGCTCCCTTGCCTGCACCGCCTCCTCCACAGCCTGCTCTCTCCCGCGCCCCTCCTCCACCAGCCGTGTCACCTCCGCCTCCAGGCTCCTCACCTTCTCCTCCGCTGCCCCCCTCGCCGCCGCCTCTGCCTCGCCCACAGCCCTCAGCTGCTCGCGCTCCCGCTCGCCCTCTTCCACCCGCGCCTGCACGCCCTCCACCTCCCTCTGCAGCGCCTCCACCTCTCCTCTTGCGCTCTCCGCGGCCGCCCTCGCCTCCACCACCTGTGCGCGCATCTCTGCCAAGTCTACCTCCAGGGCGTCACCCCTGGCCTTGGCAGCGCCACCCTCCTCCGCCAAGGCCTCTGCGCGGGCCTCTGCAGCAACCGCTCTCTCCGCCATGGCCGCTGCCTCCTCTCTCAGCCTCTCTGCCTCGTCTCGCCCTGCCTGCACCTGTTCCCGCAGCTGCTCCACCTCTCGCTCGCCCACAACAACCTCCTCCGCCTTCGCCTGCACAGCTCTGGCATGCTCCTCCGTTGCCTGCCTTGCCTCCTCCACCTCCCCACGTGCAGCATGCACCTGCGCCTGCAGCTCACCCACCTCGCTCTCCAGCGCCCGCACTCGCTCACTCCACTCCTCCGCCGCCCTCCCCATCTCCGCGCGCACCCCCTCCACCTCCTTCGCTAGCTCATCCGCCTGCGCCTGCCCTGCTTGCCCCTTGCCCTGCCACTCCGCGCTCTGCTCCTCCGCGCGCCTCACAGCCTCCTCCAACTCGCGCCTCACCCTCTCCGCCTCGCCCTGCACCTCCGCCATTGTCGCCTGAACGCGCCCCAGCTCCTCCCGCGCGCGCTCCTCCTCTCCCTTCGCCTGCTGCGCCTCCCCCTGCGCTTTCGCCACTGCTGCCGTCAGTGCCACCACCTGCTCTTCCGCTCGCCTCAGTTGCTGCGCCGCCTCCTCCTGGCCCTCCGTGCCTGCGTGCCCCTCGCTGAGGTGCAGGAGCTGCGTGTGAGCGTCTTTGAGCTTGGCCTTGAGCTCGTCCCGTTGCTTCTCCATCTTCTTCCCCATGGTCATCGCCTTGCTCAGCCGCTCGCGCGCCTCGCCCTTCTCCTTCTCCGCGCGGCTCACCTCAGCGCGCAGCTCCTGCACCTCCTGCTCGCGCGCGCCCACGCCCCGCGCCACCTGCGCAGCCACCCGCCCCGCTGTCTCCAGCAGCCCTTCCATGCGGTCGTCCACCCACGCCTCCATGCCGCCCCACGTCCCCACCGCTCCCTCGCCCTCCCCCTCGCCCTCAACCCCCGCGCCGTTGCTGCCTGCGTCCTTGCTGCCGCCAGCAGCTGCAGTGGCGGCGGTGAGGGCGGAGGCGAGGTGGGCGGAGAGCGCAGCGAGGTGCGGGCGCATGTGCGCCTGCAGCGACGCCAGACGCTCGCGCACCTCCTCTCCCTGCTGCGCTGACTGCCGCACTGCCGCCTCCGCTGCTGCCAACCGCGCCTCCAACTCCCGCCGCTCCTCTGCACACACACACATCCACGCACGGGCACACACGCATCAGGAAGGAACGCGGAAGGCTGAGAGGGCAGCAAGAAGAAGAGCGCATGACGCAGTGGAACACGGGAGAATGAGAGGGGGGAGTGAGAGCATGTGGTCAGGAAGCAAGGGGTTGCAGCGCCACATGGGGCGGGCAGCGGAGCACGCACCCAGGGCAGCAGCGAGCTTGCCCTCCGCCTCCTTCTCCCGCCGCACAGCAGCGTCGGCGCGCGTCTTGGCCTTACTGGCGTCGCCCTCGAGCGACAGCCCCTTGATCTCCGACGCCGCCAGCTTCTTCCCCACCTCGCGCGCCTTCTGCTCCGCCTCCTTGGCGCGCCTCTCCGCGCCACTCAGCTCCTCGCGCAGCGCCGCCTGCTCCGCCACGCGCCTGCGCTCCGCGGCGTCCACCTCGCCCATCATCTCCTGCTGCACGCGCACCATGCGCACCGCCAGCTCCTCCTCCATGTGCGCCAGCCGAGCGCGCGTCTCCGCGTGCGCCGCCCTCTCCGCCGCCAGCTCGCCGCTCGCCGCCTGCAGCGCCTGCTCCTTGCCCGCCACGGCCTCGCGCAGCGAGTCGCGCTGCTGCACCGCCTCCTTGCCGCGCTTGATGGCCATCTGCAGCTTCTCCCGCAGCACCCCCACGCGCTCCTCCGCCTTGCTCTGCTCCGCGCGCGCCTCCCCCACCGCTGCCTTCGCCGCCTCCGCCTCCGCCTTGCTGCGCTGCGCCTCCGCCTCCGCCTCCTGCAGCCGCGCCTGCAGGCTTGCCACGTCAGCGTCTGGAGCGAGTGAATGCGAGGCGTCGTCGGTGGCGGGCGGCACGTGGTGCTCGGCGGCGTGGTGCCTCAGCTCCTGCAGCTTCGCCTCCAACGCGTCCCTCTGTGGCTTCTCCAACGCCGCCTGTGGGGGGAAGAGGCCGCACGCACAAACACACAGACACACGCGCACGGCACACACGCGCACACGGTACACCTCCCAAAAATGGTGGTTAAAGACAGGACAGTAAAGGGGTGAATTGCTGTCAGGACGACGCTTGAGAAGAGGGGCAGGAGGGGAAGGAGAGGAGGGGGAACGGGGCGGGGGGATGGGGAGGGGAGTGGAGGGGTGGGTTGCAGAGGGGCACGACATGCAGCAAGCACATATCCCCAGCACCAGGCCCACCCCAATCCCCGTCCCCCATCCAAATTTCCTTCCCCCATCCCCTCAACCACCTGGCCCCGCCCCCCCGCGCCATCCCGTTCCGCTCCGCTACCCCGTATGCGCGCACCTGCGCGATGAAGCCCTGCGCCATGCTCACGAACGCGCGGATGCGCGCCACCAGCGCCGCCGTGCGCTGGCCGGTGCTGCCGCCGCTGCGCACGCTGGACGGCGACCCGGTAGGCGTCTGGAAGTCGCCGTCGCCCACAGCATCCTCGCCGTCCGATGGCGCGAAATCGACGGACACGGGCGCGAGCGATGGCGGGACGTCCATGGCTGGCGACGCGGATACGGAAGAGGCGGCAGCATTGGCGGCGGAAGAAGCGTCCGATGGATCGAGGGACCCCGCGTCGCTCGCCCTGGACACGTCGACAGCCGCGTCGGGTTTAGCCGCCGGGTCGTGCTGCTGCTGCTGTTGCTTCTGCTGCTGCTTCTTGCGAAATTCTTCCAGCTGCCAGAGGTGGAGGGAACACAGGGAGGCGGGCGCAGGCAGGACACACATGCGATGCGCATTGGGCAAGGCAGAGGCTTCATTGGCGGATGGGGATCGACGAAATGTCGACGCATGCACGACGACGTTCGCTGATCCGCGGAGCGAAGGAACTAATGACGCGAGCAGCACTGCGAGTAAGGAAGACAGGATGATCAAAGCGTAATGTAGAATCGAGGGGAATGGGGGTATGAGCTAAAGGCGTCATTGCCGGACGACACTAAGGGCTGCAAGGGTCGGCGCACCCACCCGTTTCTTGCCGGCGGACAGCAGCTCCTTTCTACCCTTGGTGGAGTCCATGTCCCATTCAAAGACACTTCCCACCACACCACACGCGCGATCGCCGGATTTACGCGTGCGTCGTGCGCACGTTCATTCCACCTGCGCCGGCGGCGCACAAGACGACTACCAGCAAATTCCGACGGCGCTCGCAATGTCGTACTGGGTGCCCACCGACACAGAAACGAAGAACGAATGGGGAGGACAAGCGAATGTGAGACACCATCCAGCAACACCTACCCTCGATATCTGCTCCTGTATTTCCCGCCAACCTTGCTGTATGCATCTCGGGCTTACCTCTCGGATAAATCCGTGTTGTCCCACCAAGGTACATCGAACTTGAAAATTACATATCATCCGTGTAACACTGAAAAAGAACCACTATCTTACATCATGATCGGTGTCATCAACTATACATGTACCGACCAACTCGTGCCCACACTAGCAGCGTGGTCGGTAGATCACTGTGGGCGTCACGGCATGTCAGAATTCCTCGTGTTGGCCCAGCATCCCTTCAAGCACAGGCCAGATGCGCAGCCAGAACATTCTGGAGTTGAACAGCCCCACTGCCAGCAGCACCACAGCGTACAGTGCCATCACATTCCCACACGCGTCACGCCGCCCTGCATGCCCTCGCCTGCGCACCTCCCTCTGGGAAGCAACGGCACCTCTACCCTGTCCCCCTTGACTGGAGCCACCAGTGGCTTGCCTGGCGTCTCTGCTCCCCATCCCATCACCAGACCCTCTCCCCATCCCCTCGCCTCCCTCGCCCACCTCACTCAACGCCGAAACGCCTTCCCTCTGCGCACTAGCTGGTCCTGCTGCCGCACCTGTTGCTGTGCCTGCATCTCGTGACATTCCAGAGCACTGTACTGCTGATTGGCTTTCCATGGCACGTGTGCCTATCCCCGTGCCACCACGCACCACACCCTCACAAGTTCCACGGCTCTGCCCTCCACACTCCGCTCTGCCTTGCCCGTGCAAGTCCTGCTCGCATACTGCTTCGCCAGAGGCAGCAGTGGCAGCTGGTAAGGAAGCCAGGTGCGCGGCACTATGGGGTTGCTCTAGCAGGCGGTGCTGGGCGCAGGGGAGGGACGGCGGGGGAGGAGTGGAGGAGGCAGGAGCAGTATCTAACACCGAGGCTGGTGAGCCTGCAAGGGAGGATGGAACTATCGGGGAGCCACGACATGCAGCCGGTGATGGCGACGCTGCTGCTGATGCTGCAACGGTGTGTGGCACAGGTGACCCAGCAGCTACGGGCAGTGAGGGATGGTGCACTGGAGGGGTGGCAGCAGGGGCAGTGGAGTAGAGCATGATGTAGCGGATGTGCAGCATGCATGGGTTCTCCACCACCACGTATGTGCCCAGCTGCTGCTGCTGCCCCTCTCCTTGAGCCTGCTGCTGTGCGCCTTGCTGTGACTCCACCTTCCCACAGGCAGCAGCAGCAGCAGGTGCAAGTGGATTGGGGGCCGCAGCAGGTGAGGCTGGCGGCTGGGAGGCACGCTGATCGTTCGCAGCATGGGAGGGGGTGGAGCATCTGACGCCGGGGCCTGTGATGACTTCACACAGCAGAACAAAGCGTGGTGCTGCACCCAGTTCAGACCACTGCCACCCGGCCATGCCTCGCTGCACCCTGACCTGCTCCTTGTTGCGCGCATCAAGGGCAAAGGGAAGCGCGCCAGTGGTTACCGAGGCGGAAGGGGAAGGTGGGGTCAGGGAGGGGAGTGCGTGAGTGGCGTCGCTGGGTTGTGAGAAGGTGAAGGCGACGGTGGGGTCGGTGGAGAGGTAGATGCCCTCGCCGTGCATGCTGCCGTTGCGCTGCAGTGCCGTGCGTGACAGGTTCAACAGCCCTGCACCATGCACGCCAGGGAGGCGACGGGAGGGGAGGGGTGCAAGGTGCGGTGGTGAACGCAAAGGGAATATTTGAACAGGCGAGGGGCGAGGGCAGAGGCATCTGAGGGAGGCATTGAGGATACAGGGGAGAAGTGGGCACGTGAGGGGCATGGCACAACAAGAGGTGGGGCGCTTATGTGCCGATGCGAATGACTAGTGGTGGTGGAGAGAGGGATGGCAGGGGAGCTGTGTGTGGGACGCATTACCGCAGCGCAGGATGCCGTGCATGTTCTCCGATGGCGTGCCATGGAACGCCATGATGCTCCCATGCGCCCTCGCCATCGCCTCAAACCCATCCCCCCTGCCGTCGCTTCTGCCACTGCCTGCCATGCCTCCTGTACCCGTGGCTCCTACCGGGCCCTGTGCAGTGGCCGTGGGTGGCAACGATGTGACGAGCTGCGCCACATGGGGCGAACCAGTGGGAAGGGCACGGCATGGGCAGACGCACGGTAGGGAATGGGGCATGAAGGAAGCTGAGAGATTTGCAGGGGCACACGGTGTGTGTGGATGAACAACCGCAAGGGAGATGCAAGGCACAAACAAAAAAGTAACAACCTTCATCAAGCCCCACCTCCAGCAAGCACTGTGGCAACACATTGCGCCCCCCAGCTGCAGCTGGCGATGATGTCAGCATGCCCATCTGCCATGACGTCAGCACCTTGGCTAACGTGCCCTGCACATCCCCCACCTGCACCACATGCAGCCGCCCCTGCTGCCTGCCCCCCTGCTGCCCTGCACGCCCTTCCTGCTGCTGCTGCTGCTTGTCCTGGGGGGCGGCATGGTGGAGAGTGGGTGTGAGTGCGCCTGGAGCGGCGGAGAGTGAGGGCGGGGAGGGCATGAGAGGCGCGAGGACCCATGCAAGCAGGCGGAGGGCAGGCATGGGCATGTTGCTGTGCCATGGTGGCGCTGCTGCTGCTGGCGAGCACGCACATGCACATGCACATGCACAGGGCGGAGGTGTGCAGTTGCACGGACACGCAGCAGCATGGGAATCACCCCGGGCAGCACAGGGGGCATGAGCAGCGGGGGCGTGCGTGGCACTGGCGGCAGCCGCGTGGGGCTGGCAGCACGGTGGCGGGGCGCGGGAAGCGTGGGCGATGGCGGCGATGGGCGGCAGCAGCGCGCAGCAGCGCAGCGCAGCGGGGAAGTCCTTGTCGGGGAGCGGACCGGGCAACGTGAAGAGCGACGAGGGGAAGGGCCTACACACTGGGGGGGCGGATGAAAACGGGGAGGAGACGACGGGTGGTGAGGGGAAGTGACGGTGAGGAGGGGGGTGAGCGGTGGTTGCATGCAGAAGGAGCATCTTGACATGGACAGGCAATCCTCCATGGAAGACGCCGTTTCAACACCATGCCCACACTCACTGCACCCATTACTTCCCCTTTCCGCTGCTCCCTCGCCCGCCCTGCTCTTCTCCGCCTTCCCCCTCGCTGCCTCACGCCCCCCTGCGCCCCTCCCCCTTTCCCTCACGGCATGCGCGCACCTGACGGGCGGCGGTACGACTGCAGCGAGAGCACGAACGCCGTCACCAGGAGGTCGGCGCCGGCAGGGGACGCGGCGCAGGCGGCCTCGATGGCGCGAATGAGCGAGTGCGACTCGGAGCAGGCCATGACAGGACGGCAGGAGGGGGACGGACAACCCACACGGATTGGCGACTGACGCGAAGCAGGTGTGGAGGCGGAGATGGCGGGCAGGGTACAGCGGGCCGTGATGCTTGCGGGGCCGTTCACACTACCAGCAAGCTACGTCGCTTGCATCATCCCCATCCAACTGTCGCAAGTCTGCTCCGCTTATGAAATTGCTGTCATCCACCACAAGTCAGTTGCCAATATGGGCCCACCCGCAATAGCTTCGGAGTTGAGAGTGGTACAAATTCGAAGTGCAGCCCGAGTACGACGTGCACCCTTGGCTCGACTTCCAACTAGGCCATTCACATTTCTGGCTAGAGCTGAACGGTATTCTTTGCGTGCTGATTGCTCGTTCTAGAATGTGTTACTGCTATGCTCCGACATATTATCGAGTGATCTAATGGCGAATAATCTGACGTGGCTGGTGCCTTTCGCTGGAAGCCTGTGCGTCAGGCACCAAAATCTTGTCAACGTCATCGAGGCTATTGGTGGCCAGCTTGATCCGTTCGATGGGCATCGCGTCTCTCCCGTGGCGCTGAGATCCATCCTGCGTGAATGAACTCGAGCCACGTCGAAGGCCATATAGCCTTGCATTCCCAACAGCAAGTCTTACGTGGCGTTACGAAACCCGACGATTTCTCCTGCAGGTTCCTGCTGCAGTCGTATTTCGGCAATATCAAGGCGGGAAGTTCGTTCATCTCGTATTATCACAAATCGCAGTGTACACTCGGCGTGAGCAAATCAATCAAACCTTTCTGACACCTCATTTCCCTTCCCTGGTCAGACTTGTATTTAGGGCGCGTTCCTGGCTGGTGTCAAGCTTCGGGCCTTCCCGGGAAGACCCGAAGCTTTGGGTTAAAGTTCCTGTCAAACCTTGTGTTTTCCGGAAACAGGGGCAATTTTTGGCCGGAAGACCCGAAGTTGGTCTCGGATGACCCAAAGTGGGTCTAACTTCCGGTCATCCGCGGATGACCGGAAGCTTGACACGCGCCAGGAACGCGCCCTTACTCTTCGCACTGATTTCTATCATCGAATATTTTCCCACCCATTTGTCAAATCTCGAAGACACCTTCGACGCGCATTTTCCCACACATCACCGTAGCCACCCTCGACGCGCAACGTCACCATGGCTGCAGCGACCTCCTCCCTCGGCGCCACCTTCGCCGTGTCATCCCTCTCAGCGTCCTCCTCACTCGCATCCACCGCATCGCTCTCACAATCTACGGCAACTGCATCCGTCGCCGTTCCCAGATGCGCATCCCTCGCAGTGCGCTGCGAGCAGCGCGCTCCGGAGACGGCTGACGTGTCTCGGCGCGGGTTCTCGATGGCGGCTGTGGCGCTGCTGATGGCGCCGGCCATGGCGGCGTCCCCGGCGCGCGCGTTGCTAGAGGCGGACGACGACACGGACCTGCTGGAGCGGATGAAGCGCGAGCGCAAGGAGAAGATCGAGCTGCGCGAGAGCCGCGGCACGTACAAGGCCGAGGAAGGTGCGTTGAGCGCTGTATAGCACGAGAGCAGATGACAGATTCGTGTTGGCAGCTCGCTTCCGCCCTTGCACAGCGCTCTCACGCCGTCTTTGCCGCACTCTGGAGGCTAGGTGCGGTTCCGAAAAAAGGACTGTTTGACCAAAGTGTCCAGCGTTACTGCTCGTCACTCCATGTGCTTGTGTGACAGCATAAACGACCTCTTGGTGTGTTCCTCGGTCCGCGCTCTGCTACCCTTGATCCAGCCAGTCCCCGCCTCGGGCTTCATCACATATCCCGTGGTCTCACATTCTCTTTTTCCCCCGTGTCTCGCGCGCCGGCCTCCCTCCCCTTCCCCTTCCGCCCTCAGCCGACATCCAGGCGGCGGTGTACGGGCTAAGCAAGGTGGGCGCGGCGCTGGAGGCGGGCAACAGCAGCGCGGCGGCGGCGGAGCTATCGGCGGGATGGGTGGCCAAGGCGGACGCGGCCATCGCTAAGGTGAGCTCGCGCGCAGATTCCTGGTGTTCAGCTTAGTAATGACAACGCGCTATGAATGTTGGAACGATCTGAAGAACTGCTTCCAAGGAGCCATCGGAGTGCAAGCAATCTATGCTCCAAAGACTCACGGCGTTCTTGTTGCACGCTTTGTACGCGCCATCGCTTTTCCACCACCTCTTAGTGCTTCACTAGTAACCTAGTTCGCAAGATGAAGAGCAGGTGTGCATGGCTCTGGAGCCCACTTAAGCAAGATGGGTGCTATCCTTCCCACGCTGCCATTGCCTCGCCAATGCCGCAACACGTGCCTTCTTCCCCTCTCTTCCACTGTCACGCCGCCTGTCATGTGCTTCCCCTATCTCCACTCACGTTCCGTCCCCTGTTCCCCTCCTCGCCCCGCCCTGCCCCCCTGGTGGCGCGCTGCAACCCCTGCAGGTCAGCCGCTCTGACGCTGAGAAGTCCCTAGCAGCGGCCTTCCAATCCTCCATCGCCGCCCTGCAGAAAGCTGGTACGGTTCTTCTCCCTTCTTTTCTTCCTCCTCCCCAGAACCTTCCTGCATTCTCCCCACCGCGTTTCGTCAACCCACAAATCTGGTCTCTTGCATTGACACGTTTTTCCTACCCTGCATGATGCCTCTGGCCACACCCAATCAACGCCCCCGCCGCATATGCACGTGAAATCCCTTGTGTCCCCGCCAGCTGGAGCGTCGGACGTGAAAGCGGCCAAGAAGGCATTCCTTGGAGCAGCCTCGGCACTCGAGTCATGGGCCAAGGCCGCCTCGCTGGATGGGGAGCTGCTGGGGCTGTGAGGAGAGGGGATAAACCAGTGATAGCAAGTTATGAGACAGAAGTGCATGTTCAAAACGTGTGCTGCCTGCTTATGCAGGTTTTTTTCTTACAATTTTGAAAGCTCTGACGTTCCATACAATGTATCACATTGCAAAGCAAAAAAAGGAAAGTTACTATTGAAAGAAAATATCGTATCGCCCCGGATAGTAGCGCATATGCGCTTATAATAAAATCGATTTTTTTAGGGGGGGCGCTTGTAAATGAGGATTGGGCATAAGCGCATGCGCGTAATACTACAATGAAAAATGATATTTGTTTTTAAGGTAACCAAATCGAAGCCCTTTCAAAGGGGAACACGACCATGAAACGTTCACGCGTGTTCATGCATGAAATGCAGACAAAAACACCTGCGACTCGAGTTCCCACCGCACAAAACCCGTCCCCCAGCAATGCATCTGCCAACGCTGACTGGGAAACTGCCGTGCGGCCCAATCAGGAGCCAATTTGATGCCAGACAGGAGCATCGCGATCGATCCCTCTAGAAGGGGGTCGAATATGCCCTGCCAGCTATGCATGTGACGGGCCGCGGACCCTCCTCTGCGGGTTTAGGCAGGGGGGTTCCTGTCTTTCATTGACGAGGCTCCCGAGCCGCAAGGCTGAAGGGGTCCCTTCAGAACTTCATTCTTGTTCCCAATCTTGCACTTTCATCGTTCAGTTCCTCACGTTTTGCCCGCCAGGCTGCGAAAGCCATGGCGGAATTTACCGGCACGCACTTTCTATTCAAGAAAAAGCCTAAGCAAGCATGGCGAGTTGACGCTGACGGATGGTACAGCCGTGTCTCACCAGAGCCTCCTGAGCCACCACAACCTCCCGCGCCACCTGCGCCGCCATCTCCTCCCGCGCCTCCTGTGCCACCATCTCCTCCAGCGCCTCCTGTTCCTCCCAGTCCGCCCGTGTGTGCAGGCCCATCACATCCTCCCGTGCTCACGCTCCTGCACCCGTCGGCGTTCGACGAGTACCTGTCGGAGCCTGACAGCAACAAGCCTCCCGACGTCTACGTACGCGCTCCGCCCCCGGCACCACGATGGGGCCAGCCGCAAGATTGTGCGTGGGACGAATCTGCTGTGGGCGCTGACGACGACGAGGCCGACACCGAGGCTGGCACCGCGGCTGGCACCGACACTGGCGCTGAGGGCGGCACCGCGGCAGATGTGTTTCCCGAGGGTGTCCCGGGCGGCGACGAGGATGACGGTGTGGAGTACTGGTCGCGCGACGGCCTTCCCGAGAAACTTCCTATTCCAACCTTTCCGCCTGTTAACCGCAAGCGTCCCCACCCCTCTTCTGAGAACCGTGATGCCCGCCCCCCCTCTCCCAGGCACAAGCCCTCGCAGCATAAGCGAAACTCGTATACCGCGCAGGAGAAGCTGCAGTGGGTTGGCCGCATGGATGTTTCGGTGTCACTGCGCGCGCTGTCTCGCGAGTCGGGAATCCACCGCAAGTGTCTCGCTGAGTGGAAGAGAGCCGCCGCCATGCTCAAGGAAGCGCACTCTGCACGGAAGCGGATGCACGGGCGCGGGAGGGCATCGTGGTACAGGCCGATGGAGCTGAAAGTCTACGCAAAGCTCCTCGAGTGGCGCCGCAAAGGTACTGCCGTCTCCGTCGGTCGGCTGCAGGAGTGGTCAAGGGAGTTCATGAAGCTCCTTTTCCCCGACGTGAAGTGGAAGGGGAGCCAACGGTGGTCCGAGCGGTTTCGGAAACGGTGGAATCTGAGCGTGCGCATGAAGACGAAGATTGCTCAGAAAACCGCGGAACGTAAGATGCCATGCCATTTGGTTTTGATGTGCATCGTGCTTGTTATTATGTTAACCGGTTTCCGGTTGTGACTATTGCGTTGTTGACACTGTACCTGCGTGAGCAGATGTCGCGGAGCTGTGCCGGAACTTCTGGCAGTTCGTGCGTGACATGCGGCGTGAGCGCGGCATCGACAACCGCTGGATTATCAACGCCGACCAGACGCCGCTGTGGCTGGAGATGCCCGCCACCAGTACTGTGGAAGAAACAGGCGTTCGATCGGTGCCGATAAGGAGCGGGGGGTACCAGAAGGAACGCGTGACCGTGATGCTGGCGTGCACGGCCGACGGCGAGAAGCTCAAGACGTGGGTCTTCTTCAAGCGCAAGACGGTGCCGAAGGGAGATTTCCCGCCAGGTATTGTTACACCCCTCTTGTTCAATGGTTTGTTTACCTTGTCGCTGGTTGTTGATAACATTTGCTTGTTTATTGTGGTTTGCCAGATGTGGTCATGGCGTGTCACCCGAACGGATGGATGGACGCCGAAGGCGTCCTGCGCTGGCTCGACGAGTGCATCAAGCCCTTCATCAGGCCCCGGTTCGGCAGGCAGGCGAGGAGCGCCATGGTGGTTCTGGACTCCTACCGCGGGCATCTCACGGACTCTGTGAGGGAGAAGTTCACCGAGCTTGGCGTCGTGCCCGCCGTGATTCCGTCGGGCTGTACGGCGGAGGTGCAGCTGCTCGACGTCTCAATCAACAAATCCTTCAAAGCCTCCATCCGCCAGCAGTACCAGAGCTGGTTTGAAGAGGAAGGCCAGGAGCAACTGACGCCTGCGGGTAAGAGTTCCATCTGTGATTGTTTGAGCGCAACGTGAATACCCCCCCTTAGCTCTAACTCCCATGCTGTTACCGTTCTTGTGGTGCAGGGAACATCAAGAAGCCCCCTCCAGCAGTGGTACTCAGGTGGATCTCACGAGCCTGGAAGGCCGTGCCAGCGGAGCTTATCAAGAAGGCGTTCCTCACCTGTGGCATCAGCAACGCGCTTGACGGCAGTGAGGACAACCTTGCCATGGCGGAGCCAGCTGACCCACGAGGTCGACGTCGATGACGAGATCATCGCCAACGGCTTCTTCGGCAACAACTGCGAGGAGCCTGAGTCAGACGACGAGTAGATTCTAGGAAGCAATGTGCTGGTGAAACATCATAATGCTGATTGAGATGAATGGTTTAGAAGCATGTGTAGAATTCTTGTTAGGAAAAAATGTTTAGATTAACAAATAGTGAAATGAATATCCCTTAGGGGGAGGGATGCGCTTATAAAAAGTACTGAGTTTTTAGGGGGTGCGCTTATAAATGAGGACCGGCCATAAGCGCATGGCTCCAGATAGAAGCGCCGGCGCCTTTAATCAGGCGGCGCTACTATCCGGGGCGATACGGTACCGTAAAGTGCCACCTATAGGACCCGCCGGTAAGAGGGTCCCCGGGACTCTTGAAGGAGCAGAGGGACTCTTATTTGGGAAGGTTTTGTGAGGACCCCCCTTCTGCCCCTAATCATCATAAGACCCCCCTTTTATGTATACAGTAGTTGTTATTGCTATAGTGAGTCAGTTTTTATTGGCAGAAACTTGAATTTTGACACGATTTTCTGTGTCAGACTCGAATTCTGACACTTTGTTTGTGTCAGACTCGAATTCTGACACAGATCTGACGCGCCGCTCGCGCGAAATCTGCGCACGAATGCTGTTTTCGTTACAAAAATAAGACCCCCCCGCCCCGAATTAAGCCGTACACCCTAAAGAACAGAATGATAGTTGATAAATAAGTGTACCCCGGGTCTTAAAAATTTGCATCCGCCAGAGGGTCCCCGCACTTTTTAGAGCATTTGTAGAGAGTCCCCCGGGTCCTATAGGTGGCACTTTACGGGTATGTTCCATAACAACTGCTGGAAAATTGCTGAAAGTAGGGCTGCTGGGGTAGCATCTAGCGACAATGATGCGACCCCTTCGGTACCAGTAGATACGGTACGGTAGGTCAGTAGCTGAAAGTGAAAGACAAAGAACCAACTATTGTAGCTGTCAATAATAAAGTGTCAGAACTGGCTGTTCATTATCTCCCTTCCCTACACAAGTCTACAGCTAACAAATGCTTCATGACAACTGATCTCAGCACAACCATTGTATCAAGAGCAGTGCATGGCAGGGGGTGGTGTCAGTGCAGGAGGATCTTGCGCAGGGCCCTGAGGTCATGGATGAGCTTGCTCTCACAGCACATGCAGTACTCATCCTCATCCTCCGCCACCGCATCCCTCATCCACTTGGGTGCCCTGCTCTCCTCCAGCCGCCCCAGGGTCATCACCCGCATCACAAACCCCTTCCGCTCCTCCGCTCCCTCACCATCACCATCGCCACCACCACTGCCAGCAGCAGCAGCGGCAGGAGGGGGCGGGTGCTGGTGGTCCATGGGGGAGGGAGAGGCGGGAGGCAGGCCCACTTCGTTGACTGCATCAGGGGCCGGCCCAAACACCATCTCAAACCCTGCACACATGGCAGGGGGTAGTGCAGATATAGGACAAGATTGGCTACAGGCAAAGGCTAGGGGTGGTCGCATACGACAAGACTGCGTGGTGGTGAATACCTTTGGGTCACCGTGACACCACTTGTGCTGTGGTTGCGCTGGAGAAAGCGGTCAAGAAGCAGGGAGGGCGCACCTGAGGGCTTGTGGGAGAGCACCCAGCTGCCTATGTCGAGATACTCATCCCACTGCTTCACCAGGCTCAGCTCACTGCCAGCATCATCATGCAGCCAGTCCAGCGCTGCAGCAAGCCCAGGGAACGTCTTACACAAGCACCTCCACGCACTCGCCATGCCTCCTCCGCCTTCTGCTTCCTCCTCGTCTGCCTCTCGCTCCGCGCCTGCCTCATTTGCCTCCTCGCTCGCCTTATTCTCCTCTGAATCCCGCGTTTGTTGATCCTCACCTGCTCCCTCTTTCCTGCTGCTCCTACCCCGCTCCTTACTTCCCTCTTCACTCATCTCCTCCTCACCCCCTTCCTTCTTGACCCCCTCCTTCTCCCCCTCTCCATCCTCCTCCTCCTCCTCCCCGTCCTCCTCCTCATCCTCCTCCTCCCCATCCGCCTCCTCATCATCACTCTCTCCATCGCCCCCTGGTAACTCTCCATCTGCAATCATCAAAAGGTCAATGCGTGGATGGGTGGGTTGAGTGGGTGGGTGAGTGGGTGGGTGGGTGGATGGATGGGTGCATGGATTGCACATGTGATAGACACACGGCCAGAGAGAATGCGTGCATGTGGATATACACAGCCACAAGACAGCACCCAAACATACAGAAAGGCCATTTTTCTCTCCCTTGTTCCAATCGTCTCAATCACTGCATCGCCCACCTGCCCAATTATACACGCGCAGCCACGGCCTCACGCCCCATGACTCACAGAGCGCGCAGTACTGCAGCGAGATGCTGCGGTAGTGGTGCATGGCGGCGTTGCTGCGATTTAGATCCGCCAACAGCCTCCTGGGGAGGGGGGGAAGGAGGGGCGTGGGAGAGGGGAGTCAGTGGCGGCTGTGGAGCAGAGATGGAGCGGAAGCCGCAGGAACGGAAGAAAAGGGGAAAGAGAGGAGCTAAACCGGCGGGTGGCTGCTCCCTTGGGAGGCATAGAGCATGCATTGCATGGCAAGAGAAGAGAGCTAAGGAAAGCGGTGGGTGGGAGGGCGAGCGGGCAGGGCGGGGGCCACTGACTGCATGGTGCGGTGCATGTCGTCGAGGTCCAGGCGCTCTATGAACTCGCGCCTCATCTCCGCGTTCTCACTCTGCGTCGCCACCAGCAACGCCTTACACGCTGGGGTGACCAGGGACAATGCAGACGAAGGAGAAGTGCGGTGGGGGAGGGGCAGCGTGAAGAGAAGCGGGGGCGCGGGTGGTGGGGATGAAGAGACGACAGTGAGGATTTAGTGATGGAAGACGAGCAAGATACGTAGTGGAGTAGGTTGGTTGGTGGTTGAGGTCAAGAATCAACTCTGCTTGACAGCTCGTGTTTGTGCATGGCACTGGGCCCATGGCACATGGCACGCAGCACATGGCAAACAACACATGGCACATGGCACGTGTGAGCACGCAAAGACGCAGAGTAAAGCAGGGTAGAGGGCGCGGCAGCAAGGCACGGGAGGGCGCACCTTGGGCGTGGCGCAGTGAGCGCGCGTTGACTTCCTCGATCACGCAGTCCACCTCCTCCAACTGCACGCTCTGTGCCGTGCACGCCATGCACCACGGGCAACACGGGGATCATTGCCATGCCATGCGTTGAGCCACAGCGCGCTTTGGGCCAGCACAATGGCATGGCGACCGCAGTGCAGCTAACACGATAGCACACCCAACGACTGCAGCAGTGGCAGTGATGGCAGCCGATGGGAGCAAACAAGGAGCGTTGCAGGAACATGGATCACGCATGGAGAAACAAGGGTGAGAGCTAAGAGTAGTGGCATGCAGCATGCATGGAGGTGCAGTGGTGCGAGGGAGCATGGGACCTACTTCCAGCTGGTCGTTCCTCTCCTCCAGCTCCCTGTTCTGCAGCTCCAACTGCACGCACACAACCAGCACACGCACGCACGACCAACAGTGAGCACCCTCGTGCGACGCACCCACGGGAGTGAGGGAGCTGACGAGCGGCAGCCGCATGCACACTAAAACAGCCACAAGGGGTTGGTGAGCAAAGAGCAGAGCAGGCAAGCGTGCAAGGAGCTCACCACTTGGATGGTCTGCCTCAGTATTTCACACCCCTCACATCCTGTATCCTCTGTTCCCCAACCCTCTAGGCTAGCCCTTGCCTCGGCGGCTGTTGCCACGGCTTCTGCCGCCTCTGCTGCTGCTGCTGCTCCTGCTGCTGCGAACCCTGCTGCTTCTGTTCCTGCTGGTGCTGCTTCCGCCGCTGCTGCTTCCGCTGTTTCTACTCCTGTAGCTGCTGCTCCTGCTACTGCTACTCCTGCTGTTCCTGCTGCTGCTACTCCTGCTGCTCGTGCTGCTGCTACTTCTTCTTCCCGATCCGAGTCCTCCGCCATGGCAACCACCTGCACCTCCTGCACGTCGTCATCATCCTCCACCACAAGCTCTACAAAATTCCCCTCTGCGCCCACGCCAGCTGTTTCATCTCTACCGCCAGCAATACCGCCAGCACTGGCATCGGCGACAGCAGCAGCCACAGCAGGAGAGGGCTTTTTCCCCTTAACCTTCTTCTTGCCCTTCTTCCCCTTCTTCCTGCCCTTCCTCCCTCCAACGACTCGAGATCCCGCACCATCGCGTGAGTCCCCTGCCCCACCTTCACCTACCACGCGTCCAGCGAGAGCTTCAGCAATGCTGTCCGCTTCAAGCCCTGTGTCGCCCACCACCGCATCCCCCTGCCCCTCTCCTTCACCAGCATCCCCCTGCCCCTCTCCTTCACCAGCATCCCCCTGCCCCTCTCCTTCACCAGCATCCCCCTGCCCCTCTCCTTCACCAGCATCCCCCTGCCCCTCTCCTTCTCCCGCATCCCCTACCTCCTCTTCATGCTCACCGTTGTACCTGCCGTAGCCACCCCCCAGATCAGGCGATAGGACAATTGTCTCAGCTGCTGCAGTATCGGTCCGACCCTCTTCTCTCTCTGCTGCCCCGCCGGCGTTGCCTTGTGTGCGTTCGCTCCCTGGGGACTCATCCCTCTCACCGCTTCCCTCCTCTGGAATCGCAGGCAGCGGTGGCAGCACGGCATTACCCAGCCTCAGCCTCGGGCTCCTCCTGATCTGCCCGCTCAGCCCCGCGCCCTCCATCCCCTGCCGCTCCCTGCGCGCCTTTGCCTTGCGCGTTGCCCGCCTCCTGGTTTCACGTCGCCCCCACGACCCTGACCCGTCACTGTCCTGCACTTCACGAGCCAATCCCCCGACAGCTTCGCCTGCACTTCTGTCACTGAGCGGCACTTCCTCTGCAGTCTCAGGCAAGCCCTCGCTTGCCGAGCGAACACCCATGGCGGCCCACAAATCCTGCACATTAGTATCTGCATCCGTCCCTTCACGTCCCTCCTCCTGCTCCGTGCATTGTCCATGCCCTCGACTCTCGCCTGCCGCACCTACATCCACTACTCCAACATCCGCATTTCCCAGCCCTTGTTCTCCTCCCCCCTCAACCGTCCCCTTACCTCTCTCCCCCTCTCCCTGCACTTCCATAGCCTGTTCATCCTGCTTCACCTCGCCGTCGTTCCCCGCATCACCCTTCACAGCAAGGAACGGTCGGTAACCCAATTTCCTCCGTTTCTTGCGCGACCCTGGCGCCCGCCCACCGGCATCCGTCAGCACAGCAGCGCCGTCTTTCTGCACGCCGCCTTCGCCGTCAGCGGTGCGTACAACGCCCGTGTCACCCTGCGACCCCTCGACTCGCGCAGCCGCTGCATCCTGGCTGACGTCTTCCCATGCGCTACCTCCGAACGTTGCTCCTCGCTTTCGATCCGCTAGCTCTTCGTTCTCCTGCATTTCCACCGCTCCATCAACATCCCCCACCGCTCCATCGGCATCTCCCACCGCCGTAGCATCATCGAAATGCGCAACGCCATCGTGCTTCTCAGCAACGCCATCGCGCTTCTCAGCAACGCCATCGCGCTTCTCCCGCACATTCCGCGCCACACCCACCATCGCAGAGCCGCCCTCGCTCTCTCCATTCCGCTCCACTCCATTCCGCTCTCCGCGTGCCCTCTTCTTGCGGCTCCAATCGGGTTTCTTCCTCCTCCTCTTCGTCACCCCATGCCCCTCCTGGTGCTCCTGTTCCTCTGACTCCTCTTGCGTCGCCGTCCCTTCGCCGACCGCCTCAACGCCCCCCTTCAGTGGCGGCCCGATGTCGGTCATGGCGTCAGTCGGCGCTTCATCGCCCCCTGGTTCATTCATCTGCAGGTATTGCTTTAAACCGTTTCCCTGGCGCACCCCCGCTCCAGCAGATGCAGCATCCTCAGCAGCGGCAGAAGCAGCAAGGCCCTCCGCAGCAACGACGGTCGGAGCATGCTCGGCAGCACGGCCTTGCTTCACCACTTCTCGAACACTGTCTTCACTTGTGCCCGTCAGACGCCACACGTCATCTGGCGAGTCAGCGAATGCGGGAAGAACGATGCGTCCGATCTTCGCCGTGCCGTCAGACCCCGCACCGACTTCGCCACACACTGCCGTTCCACCATCCTGCGTCTCCGGCTTCTCACCCGCACAGGCCGGCGCTTTCTGAATGTTATGGTCGTTCGACGGCGCGCGCGGCCGAAGGGCTCTCGCGCGCGTCGTTGCGGCTTTCTTCTTGCCCTTGTGCCTTGCCTGAGCAGCCAGAAGACCTGGTCCGTTCTCAGCGTCAATCAAACCCTACAGATTGGCAGAAGCACACAAAACGAAGTCAATATAAACATCTGGTGAATATATTATAGGATGAGAAACGTCAAGACTCTTGAATTGAAGCTTAAACGAAACCATGAGGCGGGATGTGATTTATAGGTGCACATACGTGATCGTTGAGGGCGCGACCAGTGCTTTGCAAGGCCTTGAGAACATCGGGAAGGCAGTCCACGTTGAGCGTGCTGGCGAGCGGAGGTCCTAAGGCGAACGCCGGTGACTGCGTCCCCGCAGGCACGTGCTGTGATGAAGCCAAACGCGTAGATCGGCCGCTGGGGACACGCTGAGCGACGTCACGACGGCCGTTTGGATGGACACTCCGCGTGACAGCATTTCCCGCTTCTCCTTGACGAGACATGGCGTTAGTGGAACCTCCACGAGCCACACGCCGGGATGGAAACGCCGCACAGTGATCCGACAATATATTGCTAGATACGACGTGTTTCTACCTGGAAATTTAAATTTCGCTCAAACAATGAAGATGAGACAGGTTATTAGAGGAGTTGAACTGATACTAAAATTCTCTTTACTTCCCGACCGAAGCACGACAGTGGCTGACACAGTGGTTCTGTGAATCCAAGACCTGGCAGATGGACGCTGGGAGTAGGCTATCGACTACGGCGGCGACTCGAGCTGCTTTCAAGGCTCGGACCCTGATAGAGCCGTGCTGGGCTTGGCCGGCAAGGGAAGCTCAGAATGCGTTCCCAACAATGGCAACTATGGAGTTTGGACTTCGGACAACACCATGCAGAACAGACTAGCTTTGGAATATCCGACATTCACCCAAGTTCGAGGGAGCTCGAAGGGTCGACTATGGCAATGTAGCAGTGTTGCGTTGAGCGAACCTCATTTGCCTGGCTCGTTTTCTCTTGGGAACTGTCAATTCTGCATTTCGCTGAGAGGAAATTCAAAATGAAGCTCAGGAATTTTAGTCGTGCCGCGATTGGTCCGTGCAGTAATCCCAGGGGCGGGAACAGACTTCTGAGCTCTGCGCTTCGCGCCAACTGAATGCTGACTTTCTGGAGAGGTGTATAAAACCCCGTTGTACGATGGCTTGTAATGGACAACACCACTAACTTTTTAGAGGTTTACTTTCAGTAATATTAAAAGACAGAACAGAACAGAACGTTTGTTCTCCAGTAAATCCAGCCACGACTTGGAAAACTCTTACGGTATGATATTTCAGCTAAAACCTTGCTTGAAAAGGACGGTTACTTGCAGATATCCATGTTTGATAGGGCATCCATGGCAGCAGGCAGCATGGAAGTTCCTTCAGAGCGTAAACATCAAGAGCATGAAAGCAATCTTATCTCAGCCAGTCTTGCAACAGCACTACAAACAAATACCCGTACGCCCTACGCAATGAGCGATTCTGAAAAAAGGTTGCTGTGAGGCCGCCGGACATGTGACAGTGACAGCAGCTAGATACAGGAGGCTTAGATGACACCAGCCACCCACTGAACAGCCTCAGGTGCAGTGGGATGCATGGCGCGAAATTCTTTAGCATAACGACCCTGGAAGTTCAACTTGGGTGGGTCTCCCTGTGACAGGCAGAACAGACGCATGCACAAGGGGAGGCAGGCTCTGAGAGGACTGGTAGGACAACTTCAGCAGACACAGACCAGATTAACTACAAGAACCGAGAGTCTAGCAGGATTCACACAGCACATGTACCCTTCTCCTCAGAAGCACTAACCTCACTCACCTACCAAATGCCCACTACAGCATGCACCCACTCCACACCCATAAGCCTCACATATTTGAGCCAGCACTCCTTGTGCTTGTGGTCCCATATGTCAGGCGACCAGCACCCCCCCGGCTCAGGGCAGAACACCCAGATGTTGCACCGCTGCTGTGCGCCCTCACCCCCCTGCTGTGCGGCGGCATGGGCAGTGGCAGCCATGGCTTGGCAGCGCGCACAGCAGTCGGCAGCGGAGGCGGTGTGGAAGTCCAGGCCCCATGTGAGTGCGTCCCCGTCATAGTCCGTGCTGCGCTGCATGCTGCACTGCTCTGGTACCCCTGCTACATACGCTGGCCGGTGAGCAGGGAAGGGGAGAGAGGGGGGGGAAGGTGAGTACAGAAAGGTGAGAGGGAAGACGGAGGACATGAGTGGGAGGGATGGGAAGGGGAAGGTTGGGTGGGATGGAACAGAACTGGGTGCGTAAGTGATGAGAGTGAAAGCATCACGTTTGTCATGCTGCTGCACCTTCTGCTGTTTCTGATGCAGCCGTTGATGGCTCAGTCACTGCTGACGTGCCAGCAGTTGCACCTGCTGTCATCAGTGGCTCTAGCTGGCCGTCCGTGGTGGCAGCAGCGACCAGCACAGTGCCTGCTGCACCGCCTGCATCTGCATCACCGGAGGGGGCAGTGGTGGTGGGACTGCCAACCTGCCTTCCACGGGCATCGTGGGAACCCAGGGGAAGAGGCAGGATGGACGGCTGTGATGCTGCTGGCGCTAAATGATCGGCTGATTTAAAGGCGGATGGGCCGATGCTGTGCACTGCGACGGTGGACGGGGAAGGAGGAATGGCAGCATGGGGTGTGGGTAGGTGGCAGGTGAAGGGGATGCAATCACAGGACAGGGAAGGAACGGGATTGGCGGCATCTTGAGTGGAGGGGGGTTGGTGGAGGAGGGAGGGGAGAGGAAGCGAGAGCAAGGGTGTGGGGTGGGATGGGGTCGGTAGAGATAGAGTGTGATGAGAGAGGGAGAAGTGCGAGAAAGGGAGGGAGAAGAGATGAGAGGAGAGAGAGGGGAGGCGATTGCAAAGATGTGAATTGAAAGAGGAAGGGGAATCTCGTTCTCCACCGTCGTGCATTGCCCCATCTCACCTCGTCTCGGGCTTGTCGCGCGTCGTGCGGCGAGGCGGGGGCCGAGGGGCGAGTGCACGGCGGCCGCGAGGAGCGCGAGCGCGGCGACGGCGAGCAGGCACAGCGCGCCGAGCGAGCGAGGGGAGGGGCGCGCGGCGGCGAGGAAGGAGGCGTGCCGGTGGCCGTGCGATGACGTCACCACCGCCGGCACGCCGTGCATGGGTGGCGATGCGCGCACGCTCCTCTCGCGCACCGCACGGCCGGAGCCGACGCGAAAGCGGGGGCGTGTGCGAGGCGCTGCGAACTGCCTGCTGCCCGCTGATCGCCGTCGCGCCGCAGCGACGACTGGCAGCGGCGGATCGATGAGAATGCGCACGTGGGATCAGAGCAAGCGCCTCGGGAAGCGCGGTCGCTGCGGTGCTGGGCAGCAGCGTGGGTGGGTGGGGTGGTGAACTGCGGGAAGTGGGTGCTGTTGTTGTGCGATGGTTGAGGGTAAAGGAAAAGGGAAAAGAGCACGCAAAAGTGTGTGTTGCCAATTTGGCCCGAGTGTGAGTCACGATCAGCAGCAGAACTTGAAACATCAGTGCGATCATTTCCTTTCGTGCCACAATTGGAAAGTTGCCTTTCCTCGTTCGTCTTGACAGCCGCGCGCGGCGAGTGACAGGGAACCCCAATCTCGCGCGCGCATCACCCCTCTCAAGCCTCTACGCAACTACTGCCGCCCCGCTCGCGCTTGTGGCTCTTACTGACCCGTCCCCTTTCCCCGCAATTCCGCCCTCCTCGCCGCTCCCTTCCCCTCGCCCGCCCTCTTTCCCTCGCGCTAATCCTCTCGTCCCAGCCACTCCCGTCCCTGGTCTCTATATACATTTCCTTACATTATTCTCGCGCCACCCTCCCTCCGCCGCCATCGCCGCCAGTAGGCCGCGCGCAAAGGTTCTTCCGCGCGTGCGCGCGCCCATGGCGCAGCCCATGCCGTTCTGCTGGCAGATCAGAACGCCGCAGGTGAGCGCAAGATGCGGCGGAAGGAAGGAACCATGGGGGATAAAAACGAAGGTGGGGGAGGGGAGGTGGGTAGGCGGGTGTGAGTCGGGGCGCTTGACAATTGCCTCTGCCGCCCATCCTTCCGCCAACCCATCCCAATCCGTGTCCCCGCGCCTTCCCCCCATGGCATGGCGGCACGCGTGCGTGAGCAGATCAGCGACCTGGGGCTCATATGGCTGGACGGCATTGGCGGGGACGCCAGGCACCTGCTGCTCGAGGTGCGCTCGACCGTCCCCCGCACGCCCCGCTGCGCCCGTGCGCGCGTGCCGCTTCGCCCCACATTGCGCGCCGCGCCCCACCATACGCACGTGCTTGCGGGTGTCTTTGCGCACTATCATGCACGTGTGGCCGCCCGTTTGCTCTTGCTCTTGTTCCCTTTCCTCCCCGTGTCTGATCGCGTGTGCGCTATGGCGTGGCATGGCAGCAGGACAAGGAGACGGGCGACGTGCTCTTCCCCCTCGTCACCCTCACTTCCCGTTTCCATCGCGGCCACAGGTGCGCCTACCCTCTCCCCTCGCTCTCCCCCTCTCCTTCCACCCTTTTTCCCTCCCCCACCTTCCCCACCTTCCCTCCCCCCCCCCCGCTTCCCCCCTCTGCCTCACCCATTGGCTCTTTAGAACAGCAAGTGCCCTGTCCTGCCCTTGCCGGCCGTCCATGTCGCCCTAATCCCCCCCACTCCCTTCCTCTCTCCAGATTTTCCAGAATTCCCGCTCCTGTTAGCTTCTTCAGCCGTCCAGCGCCCTCGTTCCCCTCCTGTCTTCCCAACCCTCTCACCTCCTGCCTCCCCTCTCCACAACCACCTCATCCACCCCTCTTCCCTATTCCCTCTTCCCCCTTCCCCTTCCCCTTCCCTCTCCCCCAACCCCCTTCTCCCCCCAGTCGCAAGCTATCGAGCCTGGCGTACCGTGTGGTGGTGCTGCCCGACTGGCCCATGGCGCGCGCAGGCCAGGCCACCAGGAAGCGCAAGCAGCCAGGGGACGCGGGTGCGGAGGGAGGGGCGCACAAGAAGGCAGTCGCGGCGGGGGGTGGGGTGACGAGGCGAGCAGCGGACACAGGACACGCGAGTGACGTGAGTGGAAAGGGGAGGAATGGGCCTGAAGCAGATGTGGAGCAGGAGAAGAAGGATGGAGAGGGGGGAGCGGAGCACGACACGGGAACGTGCAGGCAAGCAGATGGGTCGGGCAAGGGAGAGGAAGGTGGAGCGGACGGGGGAAGTGCTGGAGAGGTGAGGCCGCAAACGGCAGGAGTGGAGGGCTATGCGGTGGGGAGGAGTGGCGGAGAGGCGTGTGGCGCACAGGGGAAGGAGGAAGGCGGAGGGGCGGGTGCAGAGGAGAGGGAGGAGGAGATGGAGGAAGAGGAGGAGGGCAGGGAGGAGGGTAGCGGTGGGGCGTACGATGCAGTGGCGGAGAGGGAGGAGTTGGAGCGGCTGAGGGCGTTTGGGGATATCTGCTGGCTGGAGTCGTTCAAAGCACCGCCCAACGTGCTGCAGCAGCTGGCTCAGGTGAGCGCACATTATGCGCCCACCCTTTGGGGGGCTCGCCTGTGCCTCGTGCTGTTATGGGGGAGGGCACATGGCGTGGCATGCGCACTTGGGGGCTTGTGCAGTGCAGGTGGCACAGCAGGTGGCAAGTATGTATGGCCTGCTGTGGTGCACAAAGAGCAGGGGCGTGCAGGCAGTTTTCACATGGCAATGTGCGGTGTGTGCACCGCTCATCGCACCAGCCCACTCCGCATCACACTGTGTGGCCCCTCCACCCACCACACTGCCACGTACAGTCCATCAAACCCTCCCTGCCTTCTCATTCACTCCCCTCCATCTCTCTCCGGCTTCCCTGCCCTGCCCTGGTCCCTATAATGTGCGTGTCCGTGTGTGCGTGCATGCATGTGTGGAAGGCAGCAAGTGGGCGACATGGGGGGGGAGTTGAGCCTGGCGCCACTTCCAGTCGTCTACAACTCCATGGCTCGCCGACCGGGGGTGCGTGCACTTGCACTCTGCCCATGCCGCAAGCATGCTCCATGGTGCCCATGCCGTTTCAGTTTGATGTGTGCCTGTTGCCGTGTGCCAGCAAGTGTAGTCCTTGTGTGCGCGTCATGCGCATTTGCCTAAGGCTCCTCCGCCCTTCACTTGTGTGCTCACTGCTTTCTCCCTCTCATGTGCGCCATGCCATGCCATGCCATGCCATGCTATGCGGGGATCAGATCCAGGAGCACAAGTTCTTCCGCATCCTCTACCGCGCCATCCGCCTCACCTCCTATTACCATGTGCTCAAGGTGCCCCGTTTCTCCTTCACACTCCCTCACACTCTCCCACACGCACACACTCACCCACACACCTCTCCCCTTGCACTTCATTCCTTTGTTTTCTCTGCTTTCACGATACCCATCCCCCATTGTCCCACCTTCCTCTTCTCCTCATCTTCCTTCTCATTTCCACCCCCTTTTCTGCCCTCGCCCCACACGCAACGGTTTTCCTTTTTCATTTCCGGCGCCTTCTCACCCGTCGGCCCGTGTGAAATGGACAGCACTCCCCGGGCATGGAGCAGGCGTTGATGGACCACCACTGCCCTGCCTTCCCCCCACCTCTTGTGCGCACCAACGGTGCGTCCTCTCCCCAAACCACCTCATGCACATCACCACTCTTGTCCCTTTCACAGTACCCGCTGCCATGTAACCATCCTCTCATACATTTGCTCTTGCTGCCCTGACTCCCGTCTAGCATAACCCTTCATCCCCAGGGTGGTAACACCCATACTCAAGTCGATTTGTATTCGACTCGTAATCGAGCGCGTTCGACTCGAATTCGTATTTGACTTTCAGCCGCTACTCGATCAAATACAAATCGCACTAGATATTCGACCAATTTTCGAATACAAAACTCGTATTGTATTCGTATTCGTATTTACACCCTTACTTCATCCCTCCTCCTCTCTTGCAAACCCCTGCTCCTCCTCTCATCCTGCGTGCTGCGCATGTGGCGCAGGCACGAGGCGCTGCAGCAGGTGTGCTGAGTCGCCCATGCGAGGCCCGATCAGCTTGCAGCACACCTTTGTCAAGTACACTCGCTCTCCCACTCCCTAACTCGCCCACTCCCCAGCTCGCCCACTCCGTCGCTCTCCTCCCCTGCCATTGCATCCCCTCGCACCACCATCTCCCACACCGCACGTCACAGCCAACCACAGGCAATTTAGTCCGTCCTTCAGAACAGCGTCGCCACTCCTCCGCACATGCACTCGTCAATGCCAGTCTCCTCACAGCCCCACATCCATCCTCTCCTGCCCATCCCATTGGCAGAAAATCCATGTGTTACATTACATGGCATACTTGCGTTGCTCCAACCCACCTGTGTGACGCCCTCCCCCAGGTACACCCTGCCGGTGCATGACGCAGACAGCGACCTGCTGCTGGCCTACCGCCTGCTACCCATCGCGCGCTTCGTGCCACTCCACGCGTGCTCTCAGCGCTGGCAGCAGCTGCAGCACGTGCGCACACAGCGGAGCGGCGAGAGCGAAGGGAAGGAGGGGGAGGAGGATGCGGTGCTTGGGATTCAGAGCCAGCACCAGCTGGGAGGGCCAGCAGCATTGCTGGAGCAGCAGCAGCAGCAGCCTCAGCAGCAAGTAGCTAATGAGCACCAAGGGTAGTGCAGGTGCTCCGATATCCTTATCTGCCATGGCATGGCTGCTGCTGCTGTGATTATTGTCGGATGGTATGGATAACCGAAATGCATGGCACTTGCCCGACAAGCAGCATGGCATTGGAGCACGGGTCTAGGATTTGCTTAGGGTCCGTTTAGGAGTGCTCAAGGGTACGGTACGGTAGGTAGGTGCTTGCCTCCTGTCTCACCAGGAAAAATCTACTGGGTATTTGGGAACATAGCACAAACCCAAGCTCAAGCTTTGAAACTCTACATTTCAAAATGGCCCATCCATCCCCTCTAAACACGAGTTCTGCACTCAAGGTCACATGTGCCACGTAACTGTGTCTAGCATATAACCTGAGCAATAAACAAGCACCAAACTGTACAGGCCTCCCAGCAAGCATCCCAGTACACAGCACATCCATGAAAGCACGAAACCATCAACCCATCATGCATGGCATGGCATGCCCCCTACTCTCCTCCACCCATGCGCCCCAACTTCACCTCTACCCCGCTCTCCCGTCCACCACCACCACTCCCCAGCCCCGCCATCCAAGTCCTCAAAATTAACTCCTCGCGCCAATCCTTCCGCCACTCGCGCCAATGCTCTCCACTACTCGCGCCAACTCTTTCCTCCCAACCCTCGCTTCCTGTATGAATCTTCTCATCACAGCACAGAGCAGAAATTCTCGGGTCGCAGGTGGTTCAGCTTCCCGCACCGCTTGCAGCGCCAGCTCTCCGCGCCGTACGGAAGGGGGTAGTAATCGCCGCAGCGAGGGCACGCCATGACCGTCGCGCTGCTATCCGTCACGCCCACCGACGGCCCCGGATGGTACGCTCCCGCTCCACTGGGGGGTGGAGCGCCGTACGCGTAAGCGGAAGGCTGCGGGTACGGCTGGGAAGGCGGATAGCCCGTCACGGGCGGCACTGGCTGGCCGTAGGCTACTGGAATGCCCTGAACCGGCGGCGCTGGCGCTGATGCCGGTGCAGCGGGGTGCGATGAGTGGTACTGGTAGCTCTGCTCGTGCCTTAGGTCCGCCGCTTGGAGATTGGGCTCGTGATAGTCCGCCTGATCGTACCCGTCGCTGCCGTCCTCTTCTGTCCTCTGCCGATGATTCCTCACAGTCGTACTCACGGCCGCCATCTCTGTAATGTAAAGGATTTAACTCTAAGAACAGCTGCAGTATACCGACGCTTTGTCTTATAAACGGACCGGTTTAGTTGGAACGATACTTCGCCTGGAATAAGGAATGCGTGTGACACGTGCTTTGCACGTAGGTCAAGAAGTGACAGGATGAGGGAAAGGGAAGGGGGAGGCTCGTCCACCGAAAAGGGACGGTGCCAAGGCCAGCACTTCAGGAGAGGCTTTGTACGGTAGTATGTTCTGCAGAAATCTAATATAGGGTTCAATTCGGTAAACGTTCAACATCAAGAGAAAACGGTGGGGACCGGATGCTTGGAGCACACCACCGGTAGTTCGCTGTTGAGACCTTCGGTATGTGTTTCAGGGCGAATCATTTATATGAGCCCGAGTGAGCAATACGAAATACTAGTAGTTATTGCTTATGGAATACATGCGTTTTCTGTCAATCTATATAGCCAATGCTTTTATCAAGATTTTTGTGTATAATAATCACTTTGTATCGGTTGAAAAATATATGTGGGTACATTCATGATTTTTCTATTCTGTCCTTCATCTTGCATAAAAGAAGTGGGAAAATGGTTGCTCACATGGTAGATTAGTAACAGTCGTTTTTTTACATTAGCCATTTCCGAGTGGGCTTGTAGCGGAAAAGCAGGAAGTGATGTGACTCCTCACACCTCTCGAAGGAGCTACGCTATCTGCTTTCGTGGCTGTTTCTGATTGGGCTATGTTCACGTGGAAACTAAACATGGCGTACCACGTGTAATATCCAGCAACACAACCATTTTTGTCACGTGATGGCTAACAGGGCTTCCACGCGGAGGCGCAAGCAATTCCCAAACACGAGGGACTGCAAGATTCTTGGGTGATTGAGCGTGAAAGCAGGTCTTCAAACGCGCTTCGCCTTGATGGCCTTTCAAGTTTGTAAGGGTCACAACGAGCTCACTTGCACAACGCGTCTCGCTCGAACCCCAAGCTGAGTGGGGTTTCAAAAATCACGCTGAGCGGCCCCAGCAATCTCGAAAGGTCGTTTTGCCCCTTTGTTTCTCGATGAGCCAACCTTTCTGGAAACCCACCTCTCACATCGAGCTTTCATCCACAGGTCCAGGATAACCCCAGTCCATCCATGATTGCTTTTCTTGCTGTCAGTCTATCGCCTTTGGACGCACTAACTTTTACTCTGCAGCAACACAACCAATTTGCCCAGCATTCACCGATCCAGATCTTTCTAGTCTAATCTCCTCCGCAACGGCACGATGCAGCACCTAAACGGACACTTGCCTAATCCAATGGCGGCGAGCTTCCCTTTTGGCGTGACTCTTTCTCCTTGCTTCGCTCCACAGGCTATGGCCTTTGCGACCACGCCTTCCGGGGTAGTTCCAACATTACCTGGTCAGCAACAAGTTGGTTCAACAAACCAAAGAGGCACGTTAGGATCCCGAAGCGGTATCTGCGCAGCGAAGCACATGGAAGCGGAACAAAGACGCCGAGCCAGGATCTCTGACAGGTGCGCTCTTATTCATTAGACGAAAGCTTCCGATTTTATGTCGTCCTTAGTTATATTCACATGCCTCTTTCCCCCTTGTTCCTGATTTCAGCATTGACGCACTAAAACGACTCGTTCCGCACCAGGGGCGGACCAACACGGCAGCGTTTTTAGCGGAGGTGTACGATTACATCGAATCCCTGCATTCCCGCATTCGACGCATCGAGGAAGCCACAAACTCAGCGGAGCAGCCCTCCGTGCCTGCTTCTGGAGCCAAGGCGGCGGACAACGCCAATGCCCCGCCGCAAACAGCACGGACTCCTAATTCCAGTGACGAACCCTCGGGTGACGAGGCGGACGAAGCGACGGGGGAACGGGCGCAAGCGATGGAAGGCAATTTCCGTGTCGATGGTGGGGAAGAAGCACGAGCGCAGTGTCGCGTTGACGAGCAACAACTCGAAGGCTTCGATCTGAATATGATAGCCGTGGAAGGAACGGTGCGGGAGGGCACGGAGACGCTAGATGTTAGCGCGAGTGGCGCAAAGAACGTTAATGACCTCGCGGGGAAGAAGCGGCGACGGGACAGTTTTGATTCTTCTGTCGTTAAGCCCGCCTCGGGCGCATGTGGACAAGATGGGACCGCAGATGTGGGCACGAAACCGTGGTGGCTACGCCAAAACGAGCTCAAGACAACCACGGCTGATGCGCGGCGAGAATGCGGTGAATCGGCCGCCGTTACAGTTGAGAGGCAACAAGTGGGCGGGCACGCGGCGTGGACAGAGGAGCTACCCGGGCTCGCGCCTTCGCCGGAGCATCCACGGCAGCACGCGGAGCTTCAGAGTAATGACGGCGTCTCCGCTTCCTCGCATCCCTCCACGGCACCTCCGCCGCTTGCCACTCCACTATCCGCGTCCACGTCCCCTTCTTGCTCCGCTGGCAGCTCTGCTGCGCTGGGTGCCTCTCCCGCTCCCCGCCGGCGGGGCGCTGCGCCATGCAAGGGTCGTCGCGGGCGGCCAGCGCTTGGCGCACGTGCACGGACTGAAATATCGCCGTCACCGCTTAGCAGCACTGGCGGTAACGGCTGCGGTGTGGAGGAGGAAATGGAAGACGCGGCGAAACGCAACGCACCTGGTGCTCACGCGGCAGCGGCGGAAGCGACGCAGGTCCTGGACAATGATGGTGGCGATGCTGACGGCGAAGTGGATGCTGCTGTGGAGGCGGCATCGGTGCTGGCCATGGTGGGGTCGTCGTGGTGTGATGCTGGTCAGCCCAATAACGTGCAGGCGTCCGCCGCTCCTCCGGCTGATGCCGCCGCTCCTGCTGCCGCTGTTGCCCCTGCTGCTCGCGTCACTGGACCCGCCAACCAACGACAAGCACCACTGAAGCCCAAGTGAGTGCTTTGCTGCTCGCATTTACTGATGTTCCTGAGCATTCTTAATATGGTCAAATTAGTTGTTTGTTTGTTTGTTTGTTTGTTTTTTTTTTTTTAACCCTATGCATCTTTTCTTAAGGCTCTTGTTTGTTTCTTTCCATCGTCCCTTTTGTGCAGGCAACGACATCTCCAATCAACCCGACTACAGCCACTTGCTGCTGCCCCAGCTTCCACGGTTGCAGCATTGCCTTTCGGTCTTCCGTCCTTCTCAATGCAGCTTCCCATGTTTACCACCATGCAACCTGCTGCACTGCCTGCGGTTCAGCATCCCTCATTAGCTTCTGCGGCAGCAGCGGCTGCTGATGCAGCAGCTGTGGCGCAGCAGTGGGGGATGGCGGCTGCAGCGGCCCACATCCAAGCGCAGGCAGCAGCACAAGCGCATGCCCAGGTTCAGGCGCTCATGCAAGCAGTGGCTGCATCTGGAGGCACAAGTGCAAATAACGGCGGTGCTCTGCTCCCAGTCACATCTCCTACCGGCACATCGCCTGCGCTCGTGGTTTCTGCCACTTCACCGCAACAGCCAGCACTAGAAGTTGCCCCAGCAGCAAACGGAGCTTCGGCAGTGCCAGAAGCTGTACCAGAGGGAGAAGTGGGGAGGAAACGGAGGCGGCGAGGTGTGGGTCAGGCCAAGGTGGTTTAGTTACTATTGTTTTCCTGTATCAAAACACAGTAACCTGCAACTAGCCATGTCAAGCTGAAAAAAGAGTGGAATAGGTACTGTATCCTTTCTTCAGCTGTAGTTTCGATTGATTCTGACATATGGTACCAGTTGGTTTTTTATTTTGACATGACGAACAACGCTGCCTAGAGGTGAGGAACAGGCAGCTTTGCCTTGAAAATTCACAATTGAGAAAGCTTGCTTTCTTTCTTATCAATTGGCATCGTTCTCATTACAAATGGGCATCGTTCTCATTACAAATGGCGTATTACAACATTTGTATCATCATTCGACACAAGCTAGTGCGGACTAATAACGCTAGCTAGGATATACCCTATCCAAGTGGCATTAGCAAGGCGGTTTACTCTGGGGTGGGTGGTGGGAATGTTGAGTGAGCCGTTTGAAAATTGAGAAACGTGGGTGGAGGGAAATGAGCTCCAACCCACGGTTTTTGTAGTTGGAGAAGGGCAATTGTGCAGTACAAGCAGCTTCGCTTTCACAATACACAATTTTAAAAAACACTACATGTGTGTTTAAAAATTATAATATTGAGAAAGCTTGCTTTCTTTCTTATCAATTGGCATCGTTCTCATTACAAATGGGTTCTCTAAGACATGGGCAGCGGGGGCCTCCGGTTGCGTACGAGTGCCTCTGTGTGTTGTGCCGATGACACCGCATGCGTCGAATCTTGGAGGGTACGGGAGGCTTCGATAAGAGGCTCGACGTCAGGGCTCTCGCTAGGATTCTGGCCTGTCTGACAGTATCTGTAAAAAAAAAAAATTCGTCTTACGCTCAGATTGGCCTTTTTTTTTTGTCTGACCTCTAAGATGAAACATTAATACCAGTCTGAAAAAACAGATGAACTATTTTACGGGGCCTACGCGGTGCGGGGTTTGGGCGGGGACCACAGTTACGTGCATCCGGGATGCATACAGGTCACACCCCATTGCACAAAATGATGGTGTCGGTGCCTCTTGGGTGTGGCTGGCATCGGCGCCTACACCCACGCAGCGACAAAGTGCTGGCAGCGTTGCACATACGTAGTTAGCTGCTGCCAGCGGTGCTGTTTCCTCCAGCGCGGATGCTACGGGACCGAGGCATTCATTGCGCATACATGTATACAGGCTGGCAGATACCCTAACTAGTGGCCCTATGGACAAGTGGGCAGAAATGTCGGTTTCAGACGGAATCGTACTCGTTATCTGGTGTCTAAGATGAAGCATAGTATGCGATCTGAAAATGTATCTGAAGTAAAATCATTTGTCTTACTGATCATCTGAAGTAAAATCATTTGTCTTACAGATCATCTGAAATAAGAAAATTAAGTCTGAAACGCAGACCATCAGACCAAATTGGTCTGCTAACGAGAGCCCTGCTCGACGTATGGCGTAACATACATTTCCTTTGCTGTGTCGCTTCGCCATCTGCCCAGCCGTTTGAAGACTCTATCTGGCACTCCCGTGTTGGCTGCTACTGTGGCTGCACCTTTTCGGAAAGAATGGGTGCCTACATGTGTCAAACATATATGCTGCATATTGTCTAGGCTGTAGTCCATATGGGGTACAGCCCAATTAGGGTTTACTACTTGTACTCCTGCATGCTGCTAGTTCATTCATTCCTGCTGCTAGATTCTGACATGGTTTCAGAGCACTAAGGTCCGTAGGACCGTTTTTTTCGGGCCCACCTACCGCTGCGGTTACCGCGCTACCCCACGTACCTGCCTGCCTTGCCTTGCCTTGTGACGTGCTGCACTATGTGCGCCGTCCAGCAGCCCTAGCGCTGCCTCATGGTGCCCTAGGCCAGCGCGCTGCCCCTAGAGGCCCGTAAGGCCCACGCGCCGCCCCTAGAGGCCCGTAAGGCCCGCGCAGCCTGCTGCAGCCGCGCGCAGCCCGCACAGAGCCCGCGCAGCCCGCGCCGAGCCGCGCGCAGCCCGCACAGAGCCCACGCAGCCCGCGCCGAGCCGCGCACAGCCCGCTGCAGCCGCGCGCAGCCCGCACCGAGCCGCGCGCAGCCCGCTGCAGCCGCGCGCAGCCCGCGCCGAGCCCACGCAGCCCGCGTCGAGCCGCGCGCGGCCTGCTACTGCCTCGCGCGGCCCGCGCGCGGCCCGCAACAGCCCGCGCCGAGCCGCGCGCGGCCCGCTACTGCCTAGCGCGGCCGCGCGCGGCCTGCAGCAGCTCAGCGTGCTGTCAGCGCAGCCCGCGCCGAGCCGCGCGCGGCCCTCTGCCTCGGCCACGACCTGCCGCTGATGCGGCCCCGCCCTGCAGCTACCACGGCCCCGACCTGCCGCTGATGCGGCCCCGCTCTGCAGCTGCCACGGCCCCGACCTGCCGCTGACGCGGCCCCACCCTGCTACTGCCGCTGAAGCGGCCCCGCCCTGCAGCTGCTTCGGCCCTGCTCTGCAGCCGGTTTTGCGGCCCCGACGCCGCCGCTGTCGTGCGCCTACTCGGCCGCCGCCCGTCGAGCGCCGGCCCTGCTCGCCCGGTGAGCGCCTGCTCTCCCAGCCTTTGGTGAGCGCCTGCCTGCCTGCCTGACGGCCTGCCTGTCTGCCTGCCTGCCTGCCGGCCTGGCTGCCTGCCTGCCTGCCGGCCTGCCTGCCTGCGCGACTGCCTGCCTGCCTGCCGGCCTGCCTGCCTGCCTGCCGGCCTGCCTGTCTGTCTGCTTGCCTGCCTGCCTGCCTGCCTGCCTGCCTGCCTGCCTGGCTGCCTGCCTGCCTGCCGGCCTGCCTGCCTGCCTGCCTGCCTGCTTGCCTGCCTGCCTGCCGCGCCTGCCTTGCCCGCGCTACTGCTACTGGCAGGTGGCCAGATGCAGCTCCAGCGACGTTCACGCGAGCCTCTGACGCCCCAGCAGCTTAGTGAGTGGTATACTAGCTGGGGTTGTCGCAGTAGCCGTCGTAGCTGTCGCCCTGGAGCTGGTCAGTTGGGAGCGTCTGGCAGTGGCCAGCTGCAGCTGCAGGGGCGTCCACGTGAGACACTTACGCCCCGGCAGCTCCAGGAGTGGTACGCTCAGTGTAGCAGGTCTACGCGTACAGTTCGCTGCCCGTACGTCATTCGCACAGGTGCTAGGACTGGTCAGCCTTGTGGGACGCTTGGTCACACACAGTCCCGCTGCTTCGCCCGTCTGAGCGACGACTGGCGCACAGTGTTTGGCGACGAGGCTGAGCTCCCCACCTGGCTGGAGCTGCATGGACAGAGGGTAGATATCTTTGCGCTTGACTATGATGCTATTCTCACTGCCATGTATGCATTGCCTACTAGTGCTGATCGTGCCTGTTATCTGTGCGTACCGCCTGACCCTGGTGAGGCTGCTGCTCTAGGTGCTAGTGTGTCTCCTGCTCTAGGTGCTGGTGAGGCTGCTGCTCTCGGTGCTAGTACGTCTACTGCTCTAGGTACTGGTGAGGCCGTGGCTTCAGGTGCTGGTGAGTCTGCTCTCTCTGGTACTGCGCCAACTACGGTCTCGCACACCTTCACCCTTGACTCAGGAGCTTCTCGCTCCTTCTTTCGCGACTGCACCACACTCACGCCGCTTAGTCGGCCAGTTCCAGTCTCCCTGGCGGACCCCTCCGGGGGTCCAGTCCTTGCCCACTACTCCACGGTTCTGCCGTGTCCGGCCGTCCCGTCCGGCTCGCTGTCAGGTCTTTACCTCCCCTCGTTCTCTACGAACTTGGTGAGTGGAGCTGACCTCCAGGATCGGGAGGTTGACCAGTTCACTCCTGCGAGTCAGCGAGTGACTCACTGTACGTGTGCTAGGACGGGCCGGCACTTGGCCACGTTCACCCGTGCACCTGGCTCGAGTCTGTACACACTGACCACTGAGTCCCCTCAGGTAGCTGCGTCTGCGTCTACGTCTGGTCAGCTGGCGGCCCCCTGCGAGTGTCGCGCTTTGTCGCACGACACTCTCCTGTGGCACCACCACCTTGGTCACCCCTCCTTGCCTCGCCTGCGTAGCATGCACTCTCGCTCCCTGGTCTCTGGTCTTCCCAGGTCTCTGCCTGCCCTCCCTCCCTCGCCTGCGCCGCCCTGCATTTCTTGCGTCGAGGGGCGGCAGCGCGCCGCTCCTCACTCCTCCTCGTTTCCTCCCACAGAGGCTCCACTGCAGACGCTCCACCTGGACGTGTGGGGCCCAGCCCGCGTCCAGGGACAGGGCCGCGAGCGGTACTTCCTGCTGGTCGTCGACGACTACTCGCGTTACACCACGGTCTTCCCCTTGCAGAGCAAGGGGGACGTCCCTGATGTTTTGATCCCTTGGATCCGCGCTGTTCGTCTCCAGCTCCGCGAGCGGTTCCGGCGGGATTTTCCTGTCCTGCGTCTGCACTCTGACAGAGGTGGTGAGTTCTCCTCTGACCTCTTGGCAGCCTACTGTGCGGAGCACGGCATCACCCAGTCGTTCACGCTTCCGGCCTCTCCACAGCAGAATGGGGTTGCTGAGCGTCGCATTGGCTTAGTCATGGAGGTCGCTCGTACCTCCATGATCCATGCGGCTGCCCCCCATTTCCTGTGGCCGTTTGCGGTCCGGTACGCCGCGCATCAGCTCAACCTCTGGCCCCGTGTCTCCTTGCCAGAGACCTCGCCCACACTGCTGTGGACGGGGAAGGTTGGTGATGCGTCGCGTTTCCGGGTCTGGGGTGCTCGTGCCTTTGTCCGCGATACCACCGCGGACAAGCTCTCCGCCCGCGCTGTTCCCTGTGTCTTCCTTGGCTTTGTCCCTGACGCGCCTGGTTGGCAGTTTTACCATCCCACCTCGCGCCGTGTCTTTGCGTCTCAGGACGTCACGTTCGACGAGTCGGTTCCCTTTTACCGTCTCTTCCCCTACCGCACTGCCCCGCTCCCCCCCCCCGCCGCTCTTCCTCGCTCCAGGTGCTCCCCAGGTAGACCCCCTCCCCACTCCTGGTCCTGCTCCTTCAGGTGTTTCTCAGGTAGACCCTCCTCCCTTGACTGCGCCGGTTGAGGTCACTGGTGACTCAGGTCCTACTGAGGGTGGTCCTT